CTGTTAGTGTTGCTCTATTGTGCCTTGTCAGACTCATCATCATATATCTACTCAATGACCACATTAATCTCCAAGAACAGAATCCTCCAACCTCCTAGACTTGGAAATATCATCTTCACTTAAACTAAATCTGTTAGGCACCTTTTGAACTTGCTCTTAAGGGTCAGTCAGTTTTGTTGTGAGAACATTTTACCTTGCTGTTATTTTGTGCTATAGTTAGAGGGAAATTGATCTATTTTAAGCCTCTCTGGAAAAAAAAAGAAATTCAGTTCAATTTAATTCACACTTGAGTGATAGCTGCTAAGGATACAAATTTAGAACAATTCTAGGGTCTACTTTTCTCCAATTTGCACTCTCTGTAGTGGGACAAGTTCCCAAAGGATGATGCACTTAGAGGTAGCCCTGAGAGCATAGGGGCTATTGTTGTTCATGAACCCCCATCCACTGTGCTCTCCACTGGTTATTATTCAGAGTTAACTACCTTTTAGGAAAAAGTATTTAGTAAGCAGACATAACAAGGCCACTTATTACATAAATAACCACCACCGCCCCCAAGCCAAGTGTACACTTTCCCCTTGCATAACAAGTTTCCTGGGGAGAGCAGGTCCAAACTTAAGAGAGCAACTCTGGGCAAAAGGTAAACTCACAGCTCCTGGTAATTGGGCATCTTTTTCTCCCTTCATGGAGTCCTCGTGAAGTTTCCTTTAAGTTCAGTTCTCTGCTGAGTTCTGAGGGTTGGAGCCCTTGCAGACTTTTGTAGCTGCCTTTCTAAGTGTGTTTAATTTGTTTGTGGTATGTCTCTCAGCTCCAGCTACAGAAACTGCCACCAGCCACTCCTGCTCTGCTACCAACTCTCATTAATAATGGCTCCCAAGAATCACCTTCCTTCCCCTCCGGGGCTTGGCTAGAGCTGATCTACCACTCGACTGTCCTGCTGTTAGAATGTTTGCTTGTGAATTGGATTATTGTGTTAAAAATAGGCCCAGGGATATGTCTGATTTTTTTCCCAGGCGATCATAAGAACTTTCCTATGTAGTATCACCTCCCTTTATCCAATGATAAAAGTACTTCATTCCTCCCAAATTGATTAAGGACTTGTTTGTACCTGATTTATACCTTTCACTGATTCAATGAAGAAGTCTAGGCCTTCTGTGTTTTCTTTGAGTGGGGTTGGGGTAGAAGCCACCATTCTTACACAGAGGATGCAGCACAGATCTTTCAAGAAGCTTATAGCTCAATGGGGGCAGATACAACATATACTCTGATACAAGGTAGGTGATAGGAGAAAATGAGAGCTCAAGACAAAATGATCTAAGGAAATTTGGGAGGCATTATGGTACAATAAATTTGGAGTCAGGAAGTGCTGGGTTCCAATTCTGCCTCTGATACTCACTAGAGCTGTGATCATGGTTGTGTTCTTCTCTTAATCTCAGTTTTCTCGTCTGCAAATGGGGGTAATAATTAATAACTATAGGACTTGCCTTACTGGGTTGTTTCAAAATTCAAATATAGTGTATGTAAAACTCTTTGTCATAAATGCCATTTATTATTAACTTGAGGAGGTGATTGGTCACTTGAGCTGGCGTGACTGGGAAGGCTTCATGGAGGAGATGGCACCTAGGCTAGGACTTGAAGGAAGATGAGGATTTCAACAGACAGAGGTGAGGAGGAAGGACATTTCACAAGATATCTATAGGAATGCATTAAGATGGGAAGGGACAGAACAAGATGGATCAAGAGCTAGTAGCTCCAATTGCCTCCACTATACCATGTATGAAGGGGAAAAGCCTGGTCAAAGGCTAGAAAGCGAGATGGGAATCATATTGTAGAGGACCTTAGATGCCAAGCTAGGAGGTTTGTGTTTAATTCTATACAGTAGGGAACCACTGAAGGTATTTGAGAGAAGGAATGATATAGTTAGACCTGTGCATTAGGCAGGCAGGTAGGAAATAAGCATTTATTAAACACCTACTATGTGCCAACTACTGTGCTAAATACTTTACAACTATGATCTCATTTTATTCTCTCAACAACCCTGGGAGGTAGGGGCTATTATTATCCCAATTCTATAGTTGGGATAACTGAGGCAAACAGAAGTTAATTAACTTGCCCAGGACTACACAGCTAGAGTGGAGGCTGGATTTGAACACAGGTCTTCCTGCCTCCAGACCTGGCACTCTATGCACTGCACCACCTAGCTGCAGGAAAACTATAGGAAGACTATTTTGGCAGCATTGGAAAGGAAGGAAGCATTGGAAAGCAGGAAGACCAGAGGCAAGGAGGCCAATTAGGAGGCTATTGCAATAAGACTTCCACAGAAGTGGGCTGGCCAGCAACACTAATAGCAATAGATCTTTATCTGGGGCCTGTTTTAACTCTCATGAGGGAAAAGCACAAGGTCCAATCTTGCCCCAATCCAGAAGCAAGGTCAAGGGCAATTAGGGATGCCACAGACACCTAATACATATCTGATTGAAATGCCACAGTATTTATATAGCTCTAAGATTAACAGTTATGAAAGCTCTTTGCCTCAGGGCTTGTAATGTACAGGAAGATAAGATTAAGGAATGGTTCTGAAGTAAACTCTTCTCAGCTCCCTCTAGCCCTAACAATACTGTATATAGATAGAGCAGAAGTGGGGGGGGGAGGGGGGAGAATAAGGGTGGGAGGAGAAATTAAAGTAGCATCTAACAGACAAGGGATAATTCCTGAGGAGTCCAGGACGCACCTAAGTCTTCCTATCCAGGTTTAGTCCACCCCTTTTGATGATTTTCTAAACTCTCAGGTGCTTGTCTTTACTGGTCCTTCAGGCAAAACTTGAGCCCCTGTAGGATCCCCCTCCCACCAATCCTATTGGGTATTAGGAAGTGAAAAGTGTGCTTCATAGACATGAAGACCCTCAGTTTTCTGTGTCTAGTGTGGGTAGGCAGGCATTCAACCCAGCTTGGTGCCTGTGAAAATCGCCATATCAAGAAGCCTAGCTGTTCCCTTGCCAGAGGGCAGAGGAGTAGAATGGCCTTTGCTTGAGTTGGATAGTCTGACTCAGAGATCCACTGAGAAGGATTTTAATTGCTTGTCTCCAGTGGCATAAAGAACACAACAAGCTGAATGATCTGCTGCAAAGTTAGTCACTAAGAAACCAAATGCAATGAAAGACGACCAGGCCACGGGTATGAAGATATGTGCCTGCAAACCCCACTAATGGGAAGTCAAGACAGGTGAATCACTTAAACCCAGAAGTTTGGAGCTGCAGGAGGTCTAAAGCCAATTGGACGTCCACAGTAAGTCTGGCCCTAATATTGTAAGTCTCAGAGAACATGTGGCTGCCAGGCTGCCGAAGGAGGAGGTGAACCAGCCCTGGTCAGGAATAGAGCAGGTAAAAGCTTCAGTACTGAGCAGCAATGAGATCAGGCCTGTGAGAGGTCACTGCACTTCTAGCCTGGGTAAGACAGGGAGACCCAATCTCAACCCCCTCCCCAAAACAAACAAACAAGCAAGCAAGCAAGCAAACAAAAACGACTGATGTGCTATTTGGTAAAAACATAAAATGTTACTCATTTTGATATCTGGTGGCTCTGCACTGTCATAATGTCCAACAACCATGGGTCCAAATGAATAAAATAATTGATAGTGACTGTGTCTAAGAGGGAGGGGGTGCCTCAAAGTCTCTGGTTATATTTGTCTTTCTGCACATATGGGAGGTCTGCAGTGCAAGAAAACCTTCTTTAGTGTAAGAACAAATGTGTTTGTCTTCCACAGAGGGAGATGGAATGTGCTTATATTATAGCTAGGGGTATTTGGGCAGAATTCTCCTCTTTTTTGGCCCACAATTAAAATCTGAAGTGGACATCCTCCACTAAGAGAATGTGGCCATGGAAAGAGAGTGACTCATTCAGGATGCTTGGAAAGAGCAAAGTTACACATTTTCAATGCTTTTCACCTTTTACATTCCTTCCCTCCACGCCACCCGCCCAACTCCGTGTTGTTGGTGAAAATTCAAGTTCCTCAAAGAGGTGTGAATGAGAATTCTAATAATTCTAATTATATGCCAGGAGTCAATCAGTCTCCATTCATTTCAAAATATGCACAGCCCTGTTAAGGAATAATAGAAAGGCCCCACTTAAGGAGCCAGAGGGGAAAAAAAAATGGGACCTAACGAGTCTTTCATGTCATCAGCTCCAGAAATCTAAACAGAGAAAGACAAGAACTTGTTAAAGTGACAAACAATATAAGAACCATTTCACACCGAAACAGGTCAGCAAGAAATTGGAAAGGACAACAGACACATGTGACTGTCAAGAGCTGAACGTGCATTTGAAGTTATACCTTGGCTCTCATAGGGAGGTTATGGGTACTAGAGATACTGAGGAAATGAGCTCCCAAGGTGATCACTTGCAGTGTGCACCAGCTTTCCCAATTACCTCCTGTCTGCGCGGGGCTACTCAGGTATCAGGGCATATTACTGCCTCCTTCCCTTACCCAGTGTCAGAAGGTCATAGGGCAATAACAGATGTGATGAAAAATAAAGCCGCCTGGTAGTATTTGAATGATACTAAGAAAAGGACCTAAGAGACCAGGAAAAGGTAAAGCAGCCCAGGGCAGGCAAATGCTCACTAAGGGCTATGGCAGTGCCCAGCACTTTTTTATGAGGCATCCTCATTTGCTGTCTCCCCTATGTGAGATAATCTTAGCAGGTATTAAGAAAAACAAACTGAATTCCATTCCTTCATTAAAACACCACCTGGCCTGGGTCATAATTGCAACAAAGGGTTCTCTCTGAGAATTACTATTTGATATACAGTCAGCTCTGGGAATTACTATTTCGCCTCTGAGAATTACTATTTGATATACAGTCAGCTCCAATTTTCCGTCCTTTGGAACCCTCACCCCTTGCCCACGAGCATATCCAGAAATCCTATGTGAACAAATGAACAAAAACCAAATCCACTAAGCTGTCTTTTAGAATGACATGTAATTTATTCATATAACTGACAATTACTTAGTCAGTACTCAAAAGTCATTTTCATATGCCAGTGATTACACAAACTTCTAATAATACTAAAATTGATAGAAGGTATAAAATACCATGGGTATGAAATGCCATGGTAAACACCAGTTGACAGACTACACAGTCATCATTCCAAACTTAATGGGAGAAGGTGGGGAGGGGTTTAATGATTTTACTTTTATTTTTCTATTTTAATCATTACCAGTTTGGGAATCTATTTTTTCCCCTCTTTTAAATAGCATCCCATGATAAAGGATTAAACTTTTAATTTAAAACAAAAACTGCAGAAAGGAATCTTTTAGGTTTCTCCTTTGCCACCACTTTCCATGCACAGTATTAGTGTGCACCCCTGCCTGACACACACAGTAAGCTGTCCCATTCAGCACTCAGTTCCCCAAACACAGGAGTTTGGATCAGAACCAGGCTGTAGACTAAGCCTAAGTGTTAACAGGAATCAGGCAGTGGGAAAACCCATTGGAAGGGATACATCTTTTGTTAGTGTTCAGGCATCACAGATGGATTTAGGCCTCTCAGCCGATGAAGTAAGATACTTTGATATTTAGATGGCTATGAGATGGATCATTACTAGGAGACGTCACAATGGAATTCTGCCTTCTTTTGAATGAATAGTCCCTACAAAAGCTTGTGTCTGGTAAGCCTCATTACATTTTCATGAAGCGCAACTAAGCTTGCAAAGAAGAGTTTGGCTTATCATGTGTCTGCCTGCATTACATTAAAGTGATATACTTCTTTGGAATGAGGCCCAAGCATGGACTTGGCTTGAAATGCCAATAGCAGCAGTCAAAAAAAAATATCAATAAGTTAAAAGGCTTTCACAGTACAAGATTCAGCTAGTTATTTCACATATACAAAACACAGCTATAGAGAAATACAATTCTTTGATGATAAATTATGAGGGGGGGAATAATCTAAAAAAATAGAAAAAATTCTGTCTTACTTAGATGTCAAGATGTAACACTGCAAATTGCCACAATATGAGCACAAATTTGATGGCAGATCCCCCAGAAATGTATCTGGGGATCTGATACATATAATAACCAAAATAGATAAAAATACTGCACCAAAAAGCATGCATACAACTGCCATGTTCATTCAGTATGGGAGTTGTGACTTAAGCAGAGCTCTAACACAATAAGTGAGGCAGTGTTCCAGTATTTTCCAGTAGAATAATAGTGATTGATTACATATTGATTAAACCTTCTGAGGCAGCAAAGTGGGGGCATAATGCCATGTCTGGATCCTGCAGCTGTTTTAAGATCCTCTTGCGAAATTTTTCCCGTACACGATTGAACTCCATTATATCCATGGGGTCCTCTTCAATCCAAAACTTATGAAATTCATGCATCAAATAACCTGGGACAGAGAAAATTATGTTAAGAAAATGAGGGAAAAATCCCCTTATTAATCTCTAATTCAAAATCATCTTGTTTGCTTCAGATGGGGGATAAAACCACAGTGACACTATATTTCTTTCATAGTATGGGACTTATTCATAAAATGGATCAGACTATATCAAGGAATAGAGTTACTGTTGGACTGATATGGACTGATCCATGAATTCATCAGGATGGGTATACCTCTTCTACCATGCCTACCTATGCTATACAAGTCTTACTCATGGGTTCCCTATAAGTCCTCTAAAGAAACTTTACTAAATCTATTGAAGGACTTTTATTAAAAAAAAAATCTCATGGAGTATCAAATATAACTTTATGAGCCCTTAGATGGATTTGTGATTGCACAGATGTGGGTAGTTTCTCCAAAGGTGCAGTGTGCAAGTCATCCATGTCTTTTAATCCTATGTGACTTGTCTATGTCCTTCCACAAAAGATCCCCAGTAGACCTTCCTCTATAACAGTGGTTCTCAAACTTTTTGGTCTCAGGACCTCTTTACATTCTTAAAATTATTGAGGATCCCAGAGAACTTTTATTTATATGCATTTTATATCTATTGATATTTACTACATTTGAAACTTAAACTAATAACATTAAAATATTTATAAATTCATTTAAAATAACAACTCATTCCATGTTAACAAAAATAGCATATTTTAAGTTAAAAATAACTAAGTTTACCAAAACAAAAAAAAATTAGCATTGTTTTAACACATGGTACAGTGGATAAGAATGTTGGAGGTGGAATTAGAATGATTTCAGTTCAAATTCAGCCTCGGATATTTATTCTTTGTGTGACCCTGTGCAAGTCATTTATTATCTCAGCCTCAGACTCCTCATCTGTAAAATGGGCATAATAATAACACTTATCCCATAGGGTTGTTACGAAGATCAACTGAAATAACACATACAGAGTGCTTTGCAAATCTTAAAGTACTTCGCTATATAAATGCTAGCTGTTTATTATCATGACCATTATTATTACATTTTTGCAAATTTCTTTAATATCTGGATTAATAGAAGACAGCTGAATTCTCATATCTGCTTCTGCATACAATCTGTTGCTATATATTGCTTCGGTTGAAGTGTATGAAGAAAATCTGGCCTCATATAGATATGCAGTTGGAAAAGGGAAGATCATGTTAATAGGTAAATAACATCTTAGCATTATTATGAAAATGGTCTTGACCTTGTGGACTCCCTGAAAGGGCCTTGAGGACCCTTTGAGAACTACTGCACTAGGCTATACTTCCTATCACCCTATCACATTATCAGAAGACTAGCGACATTAAAAAAATGAGTATTTCAGATGAGAATCTAAAGTCATTTTTTTGACGCAATTGGGGTTAAGTGATTTGCCCAGGATCACAGCTAGCAAGTGTCTGAGGCTGCATTTGAACTCAGGTCCTCCTGACTCCAGGATTAATGCTCCATCCACTGTGTCACCTAGCTGCCCCCAAGAGTTTGGAGTCATTAAAAGCATTGTGACATTTTCTCAAAGCAATTCTGCCCATTCTCCTCCTCTTGTTCAATTCTGGGGCCAGTTCACTGTCTATCCACAGTACCTGTCCAAGATATATGTACAAATGAAACATTTTTATGGACTGTACTCATATATATATCATATTCTCAACAATAACATTCTTCATTCACTTATTTTTTCTGTATAGACAGATCAAATTCTTTAGTGATCGTGGATTTCAATTTAGGAGGCTCTGTAGTGTTCTATGGCAGGGCTTCTTAAACTTTTTTCACTTGTACCCCTTTTCACCCAAACATTTTTTACCTGACCCTGGGTATACAGGTATATAAAATAGGCATACAAATCAAACATTTACTGATAATAAATCATAAAGAAGTTTATTTTAAAACAATTCTTTGGTATATGTATAATTTTACCATTTATTAAAGATGAAAGCAAATTTGCATACTAATGAGATGGATGTTCTTGTTTATATTTATGGTAGGAAAATATTAAATGTCTTTATTTTCCATAATTAAACTATTGTGTTTCTGTAAGAACAGAAAACTTTGTATGTACAGTAAAAACACTGCGATTCATAACATACAATAGTCTCTAATCTGAGCCAAGGTGTTTCTAGCAGCATTCGTTGTTGGTGTATGGCATGATGGCATGCATAGTGCAAAGTGCGTGTGTTTTGTGTTCAGAACCAAGGCTGCAGTGATGTCACATGATGCAACAGGGGCAAGTGCTGCCAGAAACACCTCAGATTCATTATGCGTTTGATTTTGAATTAATTTTTGATCACTAAGCGTTTAGAAACCTTTTACCGTTGCCAAATTTTTCATAACTCCCATATCGGGTCATGACTCACAGTTTAAGAAGTGCTGTTCTATAGCCTGATGTAATTAGCACAATGTTTTCTACTAAAAGAGGCATCGGGAAGACCTCCCCACAGGCAGAGAATCCTTCCATTTGTACTCTGTACTTGATAGTCTCCATGACAGTGGCAAACACTTCTGACAAAAAATTTCTCCCTGTTTTATTCTTCACAATAATTAGAGGGTTAAATAAAGTTATCTCTGTTATTACAGTATTCAAAAAATCTTTTATGAACCTATGACATACACATGGAAGGCCTATTTTTTGGAGGAACGCCTTAAGAGGGCATTTCATGCTACACAATCAAACTTTAAAAAAAAAAGCTGTCAAACAATAAACACCATGTGATCTTCTATTCTCTAAACGTTTCAGCAAATTTTGTGACTATAAAGATGTGGTTTGCTGTAAATGTCATTTTAAAATATCTACCTATTCCCTTCTCATACTTATTGCCATAAAGATTTTACAAGGATGGAAAGTATGCATGTGGGTCAATGGTTAAGGATATTCTCTTGGCTACCCTTTTAAGTTAAAAATGAGGTCTATGATTGTTCCTGAGTGTATTGTACTCCCCAGCCCCCTTTCAGATATCTGAGGAATCAATTCCTCAATTCCTTAAAATTATGTTACCTTCCCCCATGGACTTATCTAGCTGCTTACTCCATCTTTATTTCCTTTGGTGATAATTCTTCATGGATTGTGGTGTTTAGAGTACAACTGTGGTAGCCCCACTGTTACTGATGATGAAATGAGTTTGTTATATAAATATTTACAGATCTTTCTAATATTTTGTTCATTATCCTAATTTCATTCTTAAATGCTTTCATGAGGATCTGGCTTAATTCAGTCTTTCATCAAGTTTTCTATAAACTTTTTTTCCTTTAAGCATTCTCACTTTTTTATAAGATGATATTACCAATAGTCTTCCATCATCCTCTTTCATAGGTTTAAATCTTAAACTTGTGTTGCCTTTGGCTGTCACATGTCTGTGTTTTGCAAGGAAATAAAATGTCAGTTGGTTGGTATAATTTTTGGAGTTTTTTTGGTCTTATTTTTGTGTCAATTGATTTTTATCCATTTAATTTCCTTAGGAAATGATGATGGTCTGTGTCAATATCTGCTTTATTATCTATTTCCCATTTTTCATTGTCATCAGCTTATTTAAAGAGGTCAAATTAGAGTCACATCATCCACATGCTATACCTTAGATTCTTTTTACATTGTTTCTTCTAGCTTGATATTAATTTTAATCTTTGTTCTAATAAGTTGATAGTCTGATGGCATTCCAACAGCTTTACTGGAAATGACTACCACATTGAAAACCAGTTATTTCCTGTCCATTAAAACATAATCAATTTAATTTTTTGTGATAATATTTGGTACTCACCAGATATGTAAGCATGAGGCTTCTGAATTGTTCACACTTGCCTTCTCATTTCTTATTCCTAAAACACGCTTTTCAATGTATCTTTCATAGTCCTCCCTATGTCCATCTTTGCATTGAAGTAATTGAGTATCAATGAGCTTATTAATATCATTTAGAAATTCTTACCAAGTTCTTCATAGAATTTCTCTGCCTCCTTATCCTCTCCATCAGATGTTGGCATAAGGTGCCATTATTTTCATAAGAGGCTTTTTTTGTAAATAGTTATCATGAATATTGCAATATAATATGACTAAATGGCCATGAAATGTTTCTTGTTGCCTTTAGGTGCAAGATATGATCAACTCCACCAGCTCCTCTATTTTCCTTCCCAGAAGAAGCTGTGAATCATCTTTCCATTTATTGGAAACTCTTTTCTGTCCCTCTGGTTTCATTTATAGCAAGAATGAAAAAATCATTAAGATTCTGTTTTTGCAGTAACATTTCCACTTAATGAGCAAAGTTCTCGCACTTCGAGTACCAACAGTTAAATTAATGTTGAGAGAAATCATTATTTCTCTCATATATTAATACTCAATTACTCAGTTAGGAATAAGGTTTTCCCCCTTTCTATTCCCTCATTCAGAAATCAGCTCCTTTGTAGTTATTTGGCCAGCATCTGAAGGACATCACAGATAATGAGATTGGATTAACTTTCTCTTCAATCTTGTTCAGACCCCACCCAAGTATGGAAGCCCACTGTGTTCTATTCAGATCCTTTGTCTAGACTGCCAGGGTCTGGGGGTGGTCTGAGAGTAAAAGTGACATAATCAAAGTCATATTTCCCCAACCTCTCATTAGAATAGGCCCACATTCATTCTTTTTATTATTGTTAACCAATCAGAGTTGATTGTTGCCTGTCATAAACACCTACTCTTCTAAAGGCATATAAGTATCAAGAAGCTGCCATGATCCATCTTTGGTTCATGAGAGATGGCCAAATGACCAATCTTTTTTATTATTTTTACTATTTTATTATTCATTAGACATAATTAATAAAATGATTAATTATTCAGAAATTATGTCTCTTGAACTTTTCGTTTGTTACATTTATAGATGATTTAAAAACTGTGATTCTTAGCATTTTCTGTCCCCTTTACTGACATTCTGCCATCATCAGCACAGAAACAAAAGGTGACTGCAACAGGTCTAAGGATCATTTTGCATTTTTTTTCCATAGGTTGCCAAGGCCAAAGAATTCATCACTAAATCATTGGTCTACTGGTGATATCTCTCCATACATATGCAAGGCAGTGCTCAGAAAAAACACTCTGTGGTTGAAGACTTCACAGTGGTATTTGTGTTTCATTAGCATGGCCAATGAGAACTCAGAGTAAACTTCTTGACAGGAGACAGCAGAGCATGACTTAATGAAGACCTTTAAACACAATTATTTAAAATGTAGATTCTCTAAAAAAAAAAATTGAACATTGCCTTTACAGGAGGATGGTAAAATTATTACAATTTCTTTTATAGTAGGACACTTATATTTTGTGACCTCTAGACTATGGATTATATTTGGAATGACTTCTGGAAGACCAACAACTCTATTTCATCTTTTTCATTCTAACTAAATTAACATAATGGTCTAATTTTTCAAAATTAGTAAGTTTTCTCTCTTGACATTTGCTTGATTGAAATTTTAAATTATACTTGGACAGATAAAAAAATCATTCTGACAATCTATTAAGAGAAAATAAAAGAGGTACTTCCACCATGAACAGTACAGAGCACTCATTAAGAAACACATAATTGCTAGCAAGACATCATCACTATAAAATATCATTCATTCATTCTCAATTACCCTTTTGATCCAAAAAAATTACTTATAAAATCATGATCTAGATTAGGAAACCTCTTAAAAGAATACATTATAAATGCTTAACAAAAGAGGTCTTTCATTTTGTTCCTTTTTAAATTTAAAATTCATATGTGAGTAATTAAAATAAAGATAAAGGTATTTTACTTAGTAAACTTATGGAATATTGAGGTAATTTTAACCACTTCAGAAGTTTTCATTTTAAGAAATTATCCTAGCTAGAACTTCCAAGAAACCATCACAGTACAGAAGTGACTCGGAATTCTCAAAGACTATATTCTATTGCAGTGGTTCTTAAGTGTGGTCTGTGCATCTCCAGGGATCCCTTTCAGGGGGTCTCTGAGGTCAAAACTATTTTTATAATAATATTAAGATGTTTTAATTTCTAACATAGTAAATATTGATAAGTATTACTCACATAAACAAAAATTCTTTGGGGAAGTTCTCCATACTTTTATGTGTGTAAAGGGGTCTTGAAACGAAAAAGTTTGAGAACTGCTGCTCTAGTGGAACCCTAGCTCAGGAAGCTTTTACTCTGCTGAAAAGGCTTCCATTACAAGGCCTGAGACTGGCTGTCTGCTGTCCAGTGAGAAGCCTTGATAATCATAAAGGGGTTCAACATTAGTGGATTGGCCTCCAGAAGATGAATTTTTTGGCTATAGAGATCCATGAAACAATTTAAATACATACATATATGTGTATATATAAATACACACACACACATGCACGCACAACATACGTGCACATATACATATGTGGATATGTGTACAGATGTATCTTTACACATATGCATATACACATGTATTCTGTATGTGTATACACACACATGTTATGTTTATGTAATATTACCAAATGAAATGAACCATGCTATTACAGAATCATCACCAAAAGTGAAACTAGAAGACTTAAGGAATTTGTAGCTAAAGGTAGTGATAGCTCACAAGTCTTATTTGGAAAGACAAAAAGTTGGGTTTATAATATGCCCAAAGTTAAAAAAATTAAAATGAAAAAATTAGAAGTGGTAATGGTCCTGGGCCTATGATTTCATTCTTGTAGTGAAAAATATAGATTTTATCTTTCAATGTAGATTTGTACCTACACAACAATAGGCTAGTCTTTAACAAATTTAAGCAATGGGCTCAAATAAAGTAGCAACCAACATAACAAGCAGCATAAAAAGTGAACTTACAGAAAGTTTGTTGGAAGTGAGACAAGGTTGGGGCTTCAGGTGCAACATTGTAGAAATGGGTTTTCAGAGCGCCGCTTACCAGTAGGTTATAGGCCAGGTCAGTAATATTAATGCCCACAATGGCAAAAGAGTACCTATAAAAAGCCAACCACACCATTTACTTTACATTAAATATTGGGGCTTAGCACATGAAAAAAGGACAGCGTGATTTTTTTTCTCTTTAAAGGTAATATAGTTAAAAGTATTTCTCAGGTGGACAGATCCCTCCTTTCGCAAACACTATGGGTTTAACCACATGCCTGCTGAGGACATGTTTTTGCTCCTTGGCTTCTGTCCATTGAAACTAACAGGAAACTAGCTTGGAGAGCCTCAAATGTCCCATGGCTATCTCAGTCCTACACAAGATTAAAAACTTCCCCTTCAGAAATAACTTTAGAATTAAGAGCTGGGACATCTTCTGTCATCCTGACTTATATCTCGCCACTGGACCCAGATGGCTCTGGAGGAGAAAGCGAGGCTGGTGACTTTGCATAGCCCTCCCTCGCTTAAATTCAATTCACTTGCAAGTCATGGCATCACCTTCCTGATATCATGGTCCTCTTCTAGAACTAAGGACAAACAATAGAGTTAAGGACCATTCCAAAGTCATTGTAATCAAAGCGTAATAGCCTGGCAACCTCTTGAAATGAATTTTACAAGCAGCCCCCTTTTATTTACTAGAAACCTAACATTTGAGTTATGCAAATTCAAAAAGAGGGGTTTTTGAAGAAAAATTAATATACATTTATAATTTTCTATATATTTCTACCTAGGCAAAGGAAAAGTATGATATGCTACCAAAAATGTTTTCAAAACCTTTAAATGGAATTCTGTAATTCTCTTAGTTTCTAAGGCCCAGGGCTTGGTTTTGAACTTCTTTTTTAATCTCTATAGTCCTTAGTATAGTGCCTTATATGTAGTAGGTTCTCAAGAAACAACCACATGGTTTCTAATTCCATAAAATGACAACTTTTGTACAAAATTATAGACTTACCCAATTGCTTTATCCAACCTTTTCTTTTCCCATTCTGCTTTGCTGAATTTGCTGAAAAATTAAATTGTCTCTAATTGATATATGTCCTTTTCCAATGTTCTTCACATTAAAATATTAACCAGAGTACTATTGTGGTGTCTGCAACCCAACCATAAAATCTTTCATTTTTCATTTAGAATTAAATGTACTTTTAAATTCATGATTAATTTCTATGGACATCTATGCAATGAGATACATTTCACACTTCTAACACAGATATTGAATTCACTCTAGCGTGGGATAAAAAAACAATCCTGATGTCTACCTATTAAGTTATTTTCTCAGAGGATGACAATTTGTTCTAGAGCAGCTAATAGTGTGCTTGGCACAAGTTAATTATTGTAGTTAAACAAAACAATTACGAATAGCTTTCAGTTAACATTGAAAAGGCATGGAGTTGGTACCGTTCCCTGAAACAATTCAACATTCCAACAGAAATGCTATTTCACTACTGTGGGCATTCCTTCAACTAACATTCTTTTATGCCTTAATGGATGTTTTCATGAGTTGTTTTGGCCAAAATAAATCATTACCTATTAGCTTTCCTTCTGCTGATAATGAATCTTTTTGGACTTAACTAGCCTGGTCTTTGGATGAGAGGCATATAGCCAATCGCTGGGCATATACTCTCAGGAATAATAGGATCATTGATCAGAGCTGGAAGGGACCACTAGAAATGATCTAGTACAAACCCATGCTTTTATAGATGAGGAAATGGAGGCCTAGAGAGGTTAAAGTGAATTTGTTCAAGGTAGCAAAGTTACTAAGTCCAAGACTAGTATTTGAACCCAGGTCTGTTTATTCCAAATCTGGCCTTCTTTCCATCCACTATAAACCCTTTCTGATAAGATCTGCCTCAGCCTGCATTCTTCTGGCTCTAAGAACCCAGGATCACTTCTATCACAATGAGGCGTTAGAGGAAGGTGTTAACAGAGACTCTTAAACATTTTAGAACACACACATACATATACATATGCACATACATATACATATGTACACACCCACACCCACATACACAATACACCCACATACGAACACATATGCACCCAAACATACACACGCACACACACACAAAATACTACTAACACAAGCCAGCAGCAGCACACTCTCAAGTGGTGGGTAAAGCAATATTTTGTCACTCTACCTTAATGTATTCACTTTCTATTCCTGTGAGCGAACTGCTAACTACAATTTAAAGTAAATTTATAACATGTGTCAAAACAAGCTATAGCTTTTCAGAGCAGAAGCACCTACATCGTAAACAGAAAATGAGCAAAGGAAGCTCTTGTTCTAAGTTAAATAAAAAATAAGATAAAATTTGGCTGAAATTTAGAGAAGCATCTTGGGTAAAGATTTGTATATGTGGTTCCCTTCCTCTGTGGAAAAATCATATAAAGAAGCAGTGTGGCCCCCACCACACTTATCAAATTGAAATTCTGTTAGCACTAGAAAAACAAGAAAGGGTCATTTGCCAAGCTGAGAAAATCCACTGCACAACTCTAAAATACCATAAACCAAACAAGAGGGCCAGTCATCAAGAATGTCTTCTCATTCTATTCAGCCACCTACCAAACAATGGCTAGGAGGAAAATTTCCTCTTAAAGGATATAAGTCTATTACTCCCATTCCTCAAGTTACAATGGAATCTGCAGGATGGAAGCATATGGAGCAGTCTCGCACAATTGCTATTTACTGAGGACCACATGCATTCAAAGCAATGGTTTTTCATGGCTAGACTATTGCCTACCTGGCCAAAACCCTCACGTTTGGGACCTGACACTAGCTGTGTTAACAGCCTGGATGCCCGTACGCCCACTGTTAACAAGAGTAGTGACTCTTAAAAGGCTATCTTCTATTTTGTATTTGGTCATATCCAGTAACCTGTCTACACAATTCATACATTATTTTCACCTACAAGATTTCATTAAAACTTGAGGGTCAGAGGAAAGAGATTTTGACCAGAATATATATATATATGTATATAGCAACTGACTGCAGCCTTAGGTAACCCAATTTAGGATGCCTTGCTTTGTTGAATGGTTTACATACAAAACAATAAAAACCAAAGAGGGCTGTTTAAAAAATATGTATAATGCATTTTCCATTCCCCCCCAGCACAAACCATTAAGAGGTTCTTTATTTTCTGTCAGATGATCCCTTTGGCAATGCCACCCATGTGCTCACAGAGCCATCCCCAATTAGTTTTGTCACTGGGTGATTTAGAATCCTTATGTTCCAATAACATGCAATTTAGAATACATTCTATAGAAGTGGCTAGATCTTGGTCACATGAGGTTAAGAGAAAGCTATATTTTTGTAATGTTTTTGCTAAAGGGAACAGAAGAGAAAGAAAGTAATTCTCTGTGGCATTTTATATTTGTGAAATGCCATATAATTTAACGAACCCTGGCCAGTTAGATCCATTAGTCAGACTCAAACTAAAATGAGTATTTATACTGAGGAAATAAAAATACTCCATCCATGCACTTAGGAGAAAATGCTATGGTGTAATTTGACTTTGTTTAACAAACACAAATTGTCAGCTCCTTTAAGATGTAGAGCAGGAAAAAATGGGTAATTTTGTGGTCATAAAACAATGGAGCTTCTTTTAAATGCAGTGACCAGTATCTATAACCATTATCTAGTCTCTATAAAGATTACTGACACAATAACATTACTGATAGCTCCTTTGATGAATATGAAACAGATTCAGTTTGGCTAGTGCTTGAATAAGAGAATTCTCCAGGGAGGGCAGATATATATAAAGGGTTACATTTTCCTCATCTCTGCACCCTTTCTCATCGCCCCTACCCCCACCATAACTTTCAGGATTAATTCATTATTTTGGGTAGGATCATGGCAACAAATAGTGGAATTTTCATTCTTCTAGGGGAGTTTTAAAAAATAGAATTTTGAATTAAGATTGTGTAAGATATCTTTGACATATTTTCTGCCAGTCCCTTGAATTTCATCCTAAGCAAGCTTGCCAAATATGCTAAAATGAAGCCCAAGATAAATGATATGTTAGGCAAGCAATTTGGAACTGCTTGCTTTTGTTAAAATTTTTAATCAGACAATTAAAAAAAATTTTGCTGTAGATAAAATTTCTAGAAATGAGATAAAATAAATATAACTTAAAATGCAAAGAAAAATACCTTATTTCTTCTTTAGTGACCTCCCTTTATGTGTACAAGAAAAGAAAATTTTTAAAAGGTAAATTAAAAGAATACAAAGGAACTGAAAACCAGAATATTGAATAAATTGAAAGCAAGCAAAGTCAAGACTCTCTGACCCTCTTTTCATTCCCTCTACTTTCCTAGCCATTTTACTCTTTTTTGCTCTAGCCAAATTCACTCATTCTCAGACTATTGCTTATTTACTTGCCCACCTCTGGGCTACCTTCCATGACAATTGGGACACTATAGGTATTTAAAATTCCTCCCTCTTTCAGAAGGTGCTGTAGAAGCTCCAGAGAGCTACACAAGAGTTTCTACAGCTTACCCACTTTATCTGAAATTGGCCTCAAAGGCTATTTCTGCCTAGTTTTAGACCCATCCCAATCCCACCCATGGTTCCAGCCACTGCTGTGGTTTCAATGGAGGTGGACAAGCCATAGGCACCTACACACAGCATCAACCTCCAGCTCTAGATAAATTTGCAATTTCAATCTGCAAGATATTTCTGAACTAATTTAGTCAAATGTACAAGCCACACAAGAACAAAATTATGACCAAAGTTAATGGTAAAACAATGCCATCAATTCCAGGTACTTTGGCCTAAAGAATCACCTGTATTTTGGATGAAGGGAATCAGAGAGCACCTGTTGAGCTGTTACGATGTCCCATTCAGCAAAATACCTGTTGTTGAAGAAAAATATTCAGTGAATGTGTACCTCAAGTACTTTAAGGACATTTTAATTTTAGTGATTGATGTTGGCACAGAGATTTCATCCACTTTAGCTTCTTTAAAGAGTAGTTTTTCAACACTTGACACTAGCTGTGTGACTCTGTGCAAGTCATTTAACCCTGATTGCCTCACCAAAAAAGAAAAAAAAAAGAGTAGCTTTTCGGGAAAATAATGATAATTGCCTTTAAATACAGTATTAAAATAGATATGCTATTTGGGTCATGTAGATTTAGGAATTTCTTCAATATCTTGAAAAATATGACATAAAATTTGTTATTCCCTAAAGATGAAAGGGAATTCATTCTACTTAGGTTTAATTTTTATCTATTATTTATTTATTTATTAATTATTTATTAAGAGGATTTGCTCTGTGAAGTTTGGATTCAGTCAAAGAACCACACTTGAGGACCTAAAGGGCCATGTATGGCCTTGAGGCCACAGGTTCCCCACCCCTGGATTAGACCAAGGGAAGGAAGACTAGGTCAGGTTTCATGTGGTCCATGTTCTATGTTCAAATTTCATGCTGTGACTGAAGCACCAAATAAGCTTCTCTTTTTGAACCTTGGTTTTGAGAAGTCCTGAGAACACATCTTGAAGAATATTCATTGATCATTTATTTGAACTTTGGAACAAAAATGCAAAAGAGCTAGAAACATTTAAGAACATACACTTTGTGATGGGAGTGGCATTGTATTGAAACTTCATCATTTAGGTCACACAAATATATGACATGCTTTCAAACTTCCAAATATTCAAAATAAATGTTTAATAAACAGATTTTAAAAATAAAAATTATACAGTATTTAATTCTGTGTGCTGCATAGCTATACCTTTATGTAACTGGGGGAGGATAGCAGATGAATCTTTTTATATTTTACATGTAGATATATATGTCTCACTATAGATATCTTTATTATACCTCTTTTACATAGAGATGCAGCTATTTAATATATGTTTCACGTGCATTTTTAGCTGACTGAAAGAGGTGAAAAATATTTTTGAGTTTTCTAACAGCTGGAAATGATTTCAACATCAGAGTTCAGAGGTTTTGATTCAAAGATTTAGCCAGAATGAGGGAATTTGTTTTGCATGTATATATATATATATTTGTAATGGGTTTTGCTTTTCTTGCCTTCTAAAGAGGAGGGGGAGGCTGAGCAGGAAGGGAAGGAATTCAGAACTGAAAATAAAATAATATTGAATTAATTAAAAAAAAAGATAGCTAGATGCTATATTGCTTTCCTTCTAGATAATGAAGGAAAAGGGCTAGTAACAGAAGATTATGAAATATAACTTGTCACAGTTCAGAACTATGCTCAGAAAATAGTCATTAGGTGGTATTAGATATTCCTGCTTTCTCCCCTCTCCCACATCTGGCCCGCAGATCAGAAAGCTTTTTTGACATGTTCTTCGGGAAGAGTACCATTCACAAGACTGCAGTGATAGTCCTGACCACCAGGGGGTGCCATGCAGAATGCCAGCAACTGTCTCTTAGCAACTGATGTTTAAGTGTAGGAGGAAAGGAGGAGGCTGCATATGCCACTTTAAGCAATTTCATTCCATTGAATTCCTGGAAGCTTGAGGGCCATATTCTAAGGTGGAATCACAGTCTACATATCTATGTTTTTTGTAGACCACAGTCTGGGGACAGAGGTAGGACTCCTGGTGGGATGAGAGAATGGGTAAGAGGATTCTTTCATCCCAGTTTTGGGTGTTAGCCAGGGCTCCACCCTTGTCCCTTGAGCCAGACATCTCCCCTGTGTCCCAGCAATTAATGCCAATTCTATACAACCATAACAATAAACAATGTCACTTTATACTTTATATTGCTTTAGATACATTGTCTTATATTACATTCCCATAACCACCCTTCTATTCCTATTACATGAATTCTACAGATGGCAAAACAGAGAAGGAAACAGGTGATTCTCAGAGAAGTGAAATAATTTGTTGAGGTCACACAACTAGTTATGAAAGAACATGTACAGAAATAGCACCATAGCTAAAAATGAAACTGGCCTCATTTACCAGGGATCTAAATGAATAATGGTATTGTTATGTCTAGGTCTCCATTTTGCAGCTTTCCTGGGAAATTAACCTTAATAAGGAGGACCAATTATTTTGCAGTTTAGTCTAATGGGGCTGCACCTATGCAGGCCATGGCCTGAGTGTGATTTACAGGTGATGCTAAGGTTCAGATGCTGTTTGGTTTATACTTTTATTTTTAAATCTTAAAGTGCTAGAAGAAGTGAGCTTTTACAAGGTAGGATATATTTTCAATATCACTTTTCTGGCTCCTTTGGTTCTTGGTTGTTTTTCATATTATGTTCTAATAAATCTAATCTGCCTTAAACCATTTACAACATGGTCTATGATTTAAAACCTCTCAAATATACAATATGAAAAAAGTTGAGGATGAAAAAGATGTCATTAAAAATAAGAGAAAAATGCAAATTCATTTTAAAACTCTGAGACACATTTCAGGGTTGAGTCTCATAGGTATCTACCCATCATATAAGGAATCGAGGGCTGGTCTGGAAATCAGGAACCTTGAGTTTTAGTCTCAGTTTTGTTGATAACTAGCTGTGGGAACCTGGGTCGATCATTTGACTTCTAATGGGCTTTAGTTTTCTCTAAAATGAAAAGGTTGTACTAGATAATTTCTAAGACTTCTCCCACTAAGATTCAGTGAATTAACAAAGAATCACATGGGATAAAGGTAAGGAAAGCATGGCCAGTTAAATTAAAACAAAAGTCTAAATGTTTTCCCATGTATTCTCCAAGAAACACCCTGAAATTGTATTAAGGAGAACTTGAACTACTCAAGTTTGCTCAAGTAAACATTTAAAAAATAGAATACTGGGGCTGTCATTATACTTTTAAATATGGCTGACCCTCCACATACTTACTCCAAATTATACAGTCCCAGAAGTCCCATCCCTCGAAAATCTGTTTTAGGATCATCACCTTGGAAACCAATTTCACACCACTGCTTAGAAATCCGAGCTTCCAGAGGAGTATCAGGCTTCAAGAATTTCCATAACTGGAGATGAGAGACCAACATAACTTGTTGATGAGAATATGTAACACACACTTTGAGAAAGCTTTTCTAAGTCTTAAACCTTCTTTATTGAGATTAAAAAATACACCATAGTAAAAGGAGCTGTATGCAGCTGATTATACTCTTCTTGAGAATTACTTTTAGCTATTTATAGCATTGAGAAAGCAGGATAGGGTAGGAGACCTATAAATATGGATAATCGATATCTATAATAATCTTCAAATCTCTCTTTAGGCAGCAGTCAAAAGCTCTTGGGCTAACCCTGTTAGTAGAAAATGAAAAAAAAAAAGACTAACTTGATTTTTACTTCTCTGATGGGGCTGCTAGTGATTTGGGAAGGGTCAGAGAGCTAGAGGACAAAGGAAAGGAGGTAAGGATTATGAATAATCCTCAAAGGATATACTCAGCAGCATTTAAAGACATGTTATGTTTACAATGAAATAATTACAACTTAATAAAAGTTCTGAAGAAAAATAAGAAAAATTAATGATTATTGCTTTGCGGGTCTTGGCAATCCAAATTATCTGTGTCAATCAAGGAAATCAAGCAATGTGTAATATTCTTAATATCTGATTAGTTCCCAAGGCAATAGGCACAGGCACAGTTGCCTATCCCTCAACTACCTGAGCTAAAGATGATAGTAGTTTAAAATTTGTGCAGTAATACAAATGAAGGTCTTTTAAAGCACTACTCCATCCTGGTTCTCCTACCTCTCTAACCTTTCTCCCTCTTCCCTCTTTGCTGATGAATCACCTAGCTCCCACTCCAGCTGTCTCAGTGTGGCTGCTCCCCAAGGTTGCCATTTTTATAGTTTTTCAGGTCTGTAACTTTGGTGTTACTCTGGAATCACTCTTCTTCTTCCCACATATCAATCAATAGCACCTATATCCAATTGGTTTTCAGATCTTGCCATTTTAATATACAAAATTTCTGTCAACTCCAAACTCTTCTCCCTACTCATTATCTACAACCTTAGTTCAGGCCATCATCACCTATTAGCTAGATCACTACAATGGCTTTCCAATTGCTCTCCCCTCCTCAAGTCTTTTCTCACTTTATTCCATCCTCCACACAGCTCCTAAGGTGATTTACCTTGAATGTATGTTTCATCATGCTACTCTCCTACTCAATATACTCCACTAGTTTCCCATTGCCTCTAGGATAAAACAAACTCCTTTGATTAGCTTTCAAAGCCCTTCACAACCTGGCCTCAATCTCATCGGATATTACTTCCCTTCTTTCACTCTATGATCCAGCCAAACTAGTCTCCTCTCTTTCTATGCCTTTGTATTGGTTGTCCAGGCCTGGAATGCATTCCTATCCCACCTCCACCTCAAAGATTCTATTCCTTTTTTTTTTTTTTTTTGGTCTTCAAATGGTAATTTTTATTTATTTTTTTGTTTTCAACATTTACTTCCACAAGATTTTGAGCTCCAAATTTTCACCCCCTACCCCAAGATGGCATGCATTCTGAATACCCTTTCCCCTAGTCTGCCTTCCCTTCTATCTCTGCCCCCCTTCTCTTATCCTCTTCCCCTTCAGTTTTCCTATAGGGCAGGATGGATTTCTGTACGTCATTTCTTGTATTTCTTATTTCCCAGTTGCATGTGAAAACATTTTTTTAAACATGTGTTTTTAAAACTTTGGGTTCCAAATTTTCTCCCTTCCTCCCTCCCCACCCACCCTCATTGATAAGGCAAGCAACTAAATATAGGTTATATATGTGCAGTAATGCAAAACACTTCCATTGTAGACATGCTGTGAAAAACTAACTCTATTTCCCTTAATCCTATCCCACCCCACCCCCATTTATTCTATTCTTTCTTTTGACCCTGACCCTCCTTGGAAGTACTTGCTTCTGATTACCCCCTTTCCCAATCTGCCTTCCTCTCTATCATCCCCCTACTCTCTTGTTCCCTTAGCCCCCCCATTTTCCTGTAAGGTAAGGTGGATTTCCATACCCAATTGAGTGTATTTCCATACCCAATTGAGTGTGATTCTATTCCTTCAAGACAAAAATTCAAGTAACCTTTTCTGATCCCTGAAGTGCTAATGGCACTTTCAAACTACCTTTTATTTAAATACTTTGTATTTATTTGTATTCATGCTTTTTATATATTCTGTATAACCTTACATATATCCTTATAGTCTTTCCCATTAGAATGTAAACTCCTTGTGAACAGTGGCTGTTTCACTTTGGCATTTCTATATTTAAGGCCTATCCCAAGGGCCTGGCACATAATAGGTGCTTAATATAAGTGTACTGATTAATTGAAGAAATATTTTCTCTTCTACCATTTATTGCTTCACAAATCTCCCTCTCTGCCTTATCCCCATACCTCCTTCCTTGGAAATAATTATCCATTTTCATGTGAAAGTACAATTTCAAGCACAAACTATATTTGAATACTTCAAGGATCTGTATGTAGCTACTCTCTCGACACTCTATGATTTCCTTGATAGAGAGTACTTTGGTGTGGAAATCAACTCATCCCCCTGAAGCCAATCTGGTAATGAGCCTCTCTGAAGTTAGCCAGTTTAATTTTTGGGTGACTGAGTGATATGACACTGGGATAAGACATGTGGTTCATTACTGGGTTCATGAGAACCCAGGACTAGTGTTCTACTGGTGTAGTCCTTGAGGGCCCAGATCACTGTCACAAGGTGACATAAGAAATGAAATTTACATGGAGAAAGCACAAGTAATTGTAATACAAGTATATTGATCTACAGTTAAATGCTACAAAATCCCATACGTGACATTTATGTGAATTAAAATATGATATTCAACTAATGTAAATTCAAGCAAAAAAAGTTGTAAATTATCCCAGTTATTCTGGGACCTAATCCAAAAAAATCATCTAATATTTTATCTTTCTGGCATATAGTAAATATAATGTGCCTAGAAAATGGCAGAAATACAAGGCATTTGAAATAAAATACTTTTATCATGGTCAAGGCAAATTTTCATGTGTTTGGTATGAGAAAATACCTTTGGACCTTAGTCACTTAATTATAGTCTCCACAATTCACCAGTTTTTCACAGTCATCAAAACAGAAATTAGATCTCAGTTCAGTAGAACCCTTAGGACAGACAATTATTGAATGTTGTTTTTGTGATTCAGTCATTTCCGTCGTGTCTGACTCTTTGTGACTCCATTTGGGGTTTTCTTGGTAAAGATATTGGAGTGGTTTGCCATTATTGAATAGTCAGTCACTTTTGTTCCAGTAAAAGTAATCTCAATTTCTCATCCATAAGAAACTAATAGAACTAACTAATTGAACATCTACATTGGGAAAACAAAGTCAAATAGGAGTGGAGAAAATAAAAAAGCTTGTTGTATTCAATTTCTCAATTGTATTAAATGTGCTAATAGTCTAACCAATCTTAAGATGATCTTTTCCCAATGAATCAGTATGTCAAACACAGAAATTTCTTTTCTTCGCATAGCTTGTATGCAAAAATATTTGTGCTCTAAGAAAACCACATACACTAGATTGCAAGGAAATAAAGAATTTATCACTGGAAGGAACTTTATAGATGCAGCATTTGCTTTTCACAAATCAAGAAGTTGAAGCCCAAAGAGGCTTAATAACATTTAATTCATATAAGTAAAAAGTAGCAGATTTGGGATTTGAACCCTGGTCCTCTAGCCACTATAAATCCGTGGTTCAGCAGAAAGAGTGCTAGATTTGGCATTAGAGGAATTAGGTTTGAATTCTGGCCACTTACTTTCCTTGTGAACTTCGTTGTCATAACCTCTCTGGGTCTCAGTTTCCCTATCTATAAAATGAGAGAGTGGGTTAAATGTCCTTTAAAGCTCTAGTCCTTTCCAGCTCTAAATCTATGACCTTTCAATGTCAGCTATCATATTAATGATTTTATCACACATGAAACATCATATTCATTGTTTTAATAATTTTTGAATCTTTTGAAATTCTCCATTGACAAGTTATGTGACTAGATGTCTGCATCTAGGTGGAGAACCTGTGGCCTCCAGGCCACATGTGGCTCTCTAGGTCCTCAAGTGCAGCCCTGTAACTGAATCCAAACTTCACAGAACAAATCCCTTTAATAAAAGGATTTGTTTTGTGAAACTTGGACTCAGTCAAAAGGCCACATGCAAGGACCTAGAACAGGTTCCCCACCCCTGGACTACAGAGTCTGGCCTATTGTGAGCTGTCCTAAATTTTGAAGGTGAGAACCATTTTTACTTTATAATGAAACTATTCATAAGGGTATACCAGTAAGTGTCACAGACTAGAGATCCTGGAATCATTTTTTACTTTTCTTTCTTCATTCCTTAGATCCAATCTAGTGCTATCTAGTCTTCTTTCAACATCTCTCTTAAATTTGCTCCTTCCTAATGTCCAGGCCACTATTATGGATTATTGTGAATTGCTTTACTTTGATTAAATTTTTTCTAACTCATTACTTTCATTGTATTACCCTCATATCAATTTCAAAGAGCCAAAAATCCATGTGGCTATTGCCCTGCGTATCAAATCCAAACACATTTGTCTGTTTTTCAAAAACCCTCAATGAACTGGCTTAATTCTTCCTAACAAGCCCTATTTCCTGAAACATGCACTCTATATTCTAGTCAAGCCATTATCTTCATTGTTTGCTGCATATTTCCATCTTTATGCTCTTGCTCATTCCATTCCTCACCCCAACTCTGAACATGCCCCCCTTATTCCCTATTCCCAACATGTGACTAGAGAGCCTGGTCTATTGCAGGCTATCCTGAATTCTGAAACCAAGCACCATTTTTACCTTACAATGAAACCGTTCATGAAAGCATCCTGGTAAGTGTACATTCTACAAGCACTCCAATTCTTTCTAGTCTTTTTCCTCCTTCAAATCTTATTTCACCTGCTACTGTGACAGTTTGAAATACTGTCTATGTGTTAGTATTATTGCCTCAACTAGGTTGCAAGCTTGTTGAGGGCAAGAATTATGTTATACTTTTTTTTGGATCCTACACATTTTTTTATGCCAGTATGGAGGCATAAAATAAATAGCCAAAAAAATGCACTGAATAATTTAAAGAATTTAAGCTTAATAATAAGTGAGTCTTTATTTAGGACGTTGGCACTTGTAAAATCATACACGCCTCATTGAAGATGAGTGATTGAATCTCAGTGATTAGGAACGTATTGATTGGCCTGGGATATTACAGATCAATCGCAGATGGAACGGTGGGCTCACATTCTTGGGGGTTGGAGTCACTCCTTTGTGCTTGACACATAAAAGGTGTCCGTTGAAGAGAGAGCCTTCTTCTGGCAGACTCCACTGAAGCCAAACACGAACTAGCAGCAGAAATCAGAAGAACAATGGACCTACTTCCAAGAGAAGAATGAACCTACTTCCCTTGGAAGTGCATGTGAATAACCTTGCTGTCTCACTGAGAAAACTCCAAAGGATTTTCTGGAACAGAGAATAAGGGCATTGCCGCTCCCTCTCACACGAGCTTGAATGGAGCTCCTGAAACCCCAATTCCTTGGATAGTATTGAATAATCTACATTATATCCAATATGCATTATCCTGGGTAACTAAGTCAATTGTACATGTCTACATACTCACATAATCACAGAGAAAATTGAAAAAGGATAAATATTTTTAAAATTTAGATTCCTATTGTTTTTTTTCAATTAGACAAATTTAAGGCCTGTAAACAAATGTCTTCTGTCCTTCTCTTTTCACTATTTATTCTAGGATAGGTCATTAGCAGCCCACATACTCCATTTATAAAAAAAAATCAATTTATATTACACATAAGCTACTTTCAGAAGCCATATTTTACCTTCTTCTAGGAAATCACAGTTTTAATGCAAAATTTAATATTTTAAAACATAATTTATTAATGTTTCATATTACACTCTCAAGTCATACACTGTTCAAACACTGTCCAATGATATTTGTACCTCTTTCTCCAACAGTTCAAACACATCAGATACAAATTTTGACTTCCTCTTTTAATATCCTTCTAGTTGCATGAATAAATAATCACCATTAAGATCTTGGGTAATTTCCCAAGGGAGTGATTGCTTAAGGCAGAAACCAACTTCATCTTCTTTGATATGTGTAAAGAGTGATAAATGAAAATCCCAGGTCACTACTTGGCACACAATATTTCTTGTTTTAGCATTTAAAACCATTTAACTAGTCTGAGCTTCAGTCAAGTGTCCAAGACTCAGAAAAATGACCCTGGCTGTTTTCTCAGATGGTTTAACCATTCAGAACTGGGCCCTATTCTTGAGAAAACGCATGAGAAAAGAAAGATTGAGAAAGAAATATAAATTATTTTTCCAACAGTTAAGCCAGCAGGAAAATAACTGGAAATCATAAGAAGCTTATTATGACAGGTTCCAAATGCTGTCCAAGTACTAACCTTCAAAAGCATCTCTTCATGCTGGGGATTATCTGAATCATATGGCTCTCTACGCAGCTTTTCAACCTCTGCAATGAGGTTTCGATACCCTACAATTTGCAGGAGACAAGCCTGGAGAGAGATCCCCAACCTAAAGTATTCACAAATAGAAAAGGAACAATAAAGAACAAGAGAGGCTAGTATTTTGGTGATATCTGTTCGTTAAATTCATCTTTAGTAGGATCATTTTCATGAAAAAATATAAACTATCAGAAGAATTTTTCACAGTTGAAATTTGTTACTGTAACTACTTTGGCACATATGAAAATTGATTAAAAAGTACATCTAATTTTGACTTTCACTCAAGCCAAGGTTTCTCAAATGATTGATCTTATAGAAAAAAAAGGATAGCTTGAAAAATTCTGCTATTAGTTTTGTTGGTCCATTCTACAATGTCCTTGGGATGTTACACTAATGGCAGGATCAGAAAATCTTAGAGGTTAAAAAATTTTGCAGTAGTACAACCATGTAGTACAACCACCTACCTAATGCAGAAATTTCTCGTATAGCAAATATGGCAGACATGAATTTATCCAGGTTTTGTGTGAATACTTTTAATAATGAGGAATTCACTACCCAATAAGGTAGTCTATTTCATTGGTGGACAGCTGTAGTCAAAAAAAGGTCATCCTTATGTTGAACTCTTATAATTCCCGCCAATTCGTTGTATTGTACTTCTGCCCTCTGGAGCAACAGAGATATTGCCACATTCTATGTAACAGCTCTTTATGTACTTGGAGATGTACTTTATGTACATCATATCCTCCCTCAGGCTTCTCCAGATGAAACATGCTCAGTTCCATTAACTATTCTTCATATTTCATAATTTTGAGTCTCCTCATCTTCCTACTCAGTCCCCTTATGCAGTCTCGTCGTGTCAATTTCCCTTTGAAAATGTGACTTGCAGAATTGAACACAAGACTCAAAATTTGGCAAGCATAGGTTAAAGTGAGACCATTACTTCCTGAGATTTTTATTAATGCAGCCTAACATTTTGTGAGCTTTTTAAATAGCTGTTTTGTTCATATCAATTAAGCTTATGTTCAATTAAAACTCCTATATATTTTTCATATGAACAGTTGCCAAGCCAGGCAGATCTCTTTCATCCTGTATTTGCACATTCTTTTTTTTAAAAATAGGTTTTTATTGATATTTTCATTTGTACTTTGCCTCGTTTTGGCCATATCAGTATTTCCTTGCTCTCCCCAAGAAAGCCATCCCTTAAAACAAAGATTTTTAAATAAAAAAGGAAGAGAAAATATTCAGTAAAACTGATCAATACACCCCAAAAAGATCTGGTTATATATTTATTGTTCCTTATTTATAGATCACAATCTCTACAAAGAAGCAAGAAGTGGTCTTGTATCTCTTCTTTAGAGGAAAGCTTGTTTTTTACATTTTCAAAAAATCTTTTGTCTTTCCCTTTACTTTGTTGAGGTCATCATGTATATTGTTTTCCTAGTTCTGCTTACTGCACTTTGCATCAGTTTAGTGTATTTTTTTAAAAATCTAAACACAGGACTTTATATTCATCCCTGCTAAATTCCACCATCTTGGTTTCAGGCTCATATTCTAGTCCACTGAGACCATTTGGTATGTTTATCCATAATACTAGCTGTCCCTTTTTGTCCTCTTCCAACTTACTGATAATATTGTTGAGCATGACAGGACAAAGGACAGAATTCTATGGTACTACACTAGAAATCTCCATTCAGGATGATATGGAACCATTAATGGATGACACAGGTTTAATAGTCTACCAATAATAAGATGAAACTAAATAGAGATAAATGTCAAGTCTAGCACTTAAGCTTAAAATCCAACTATACGAAAACAGAATGGGAAAGATGTGGCTAGACAGCGGTTCACATAGAAACACATAGAAGTTTTAGTGGATTGCAAGGCTCATGCGAATCAATCATGTGAGATGGCCATTAAAAAAATTTACATCTTATTCCACAACAATTAAAGTGTGATGTCTACAGCAAGAACAATAATGCTCCTACTGAACTCTGCTCTGACCAGATATCTGGAATGCTTTGCTTAGCCCCAGGATGGCATCTGATGAGTGACACTGAAAAACTAGAATACATCCAAAGCAAACTGAGTTATCAAACATGTAAGAGACTTGAAATGCCATGTTACACAAAGATCTATTGAAGGAATTTGGGATGTTTAGCTTGGAGAAGGTAAGATTTAGGGGCGATATAGTAGTCACCTTCAACAATCTGAAGGGTTATCATGAGGAAGAAAGGTTGGACATTCCTTGTGGCTTCATTGGATAAAAATTACATGGAATTATGTTTCAGCTTCATATTAAAATAACTTTCAAACAAGCAGAGCTTTTCAAAAATGGGACAAGTTTCCTTGGAAGAGCATGCATTACCCATCCCTTAAGAATCTTAAATGGATTCTTCATGACCATTTTTAGTTATATTATAGATATAGGTTGATGTTATCAAGTAGGAGTGTGACTATCTGATGTCAAAATTCCATTACCATTCTTCAATTTGCTTGTTTACTCAGATGTCATATGCTTAAGAATATTAAATGAATTCACATAAAAAAGAAGATAGATGTCAATATCCTTTAGCATTCTGTATAGCCCTCAAACACTTTAATCCTCAAAATTCTTTAATTCATCATTTCATTTGAATTATTACTGTTAATAATAATGATAATATTTGACATTTACATGGAGACTTAAAGTTTGCAATGTGTTTTAAAGACACCATCTCATCTGGGTCTCACAATGACCCTGTGAGTCGTGTATTATTACTATAGGTAATATGATAGGTATTATTATCCTCATTTTATAAATCAGGAATCCAGAAAAGTTAAGTGACTTGCTTATGGTCACATAACTATTCAGTGTCCCAGGCAGGATCTGAACACAGGTCTTCCTGACTTTAAATATAGCTCTCTGTCCTTGCTGCTCAGCATCTTGTTAAACCTAGTTTGAGGCACTGAACATTTGTGGTGGTGAGAGTAATGAGTAGCAAGTATAGTATGTTGATTTCTACTTTTATGGACCAGATAAATGAGCAGAAAGATTAAGTGATGTCCTAATTTGAAAGCAGAAATGGAATTAAACTCATTCTTCATGTTGTTCATTCTATTCCTTTTTTTTTTTTTAGGCAAATGGGGTTAAGTGACTTGTCCAGGGTCACACAGCTAGTAAGTGTCAAGTGTTTGGTCTGAGGTCAGATTTGAACTCAGGTCCTCCTGACTTCAGGGTTGGTGCTCCATCCACTGTGCCACCTAGCTGCCCCTGTCTGTTCTGTTCCTAAGCCACTGAACTGCCACACTACCCAAAATTCCTAGCATAGTACCATGTGTAGCTATTGGGGAGCACAAGGAAGAGTTAGAAGACCTGGGTTTGAATCTCAGCTATTCCATTTATGATCTCTGTGATCTTGGATAAATCAGTTCTTGAGTTTATCTCATCTGTAAAATGGGGACATCTCCTACCGTCCAGAGTTCTTGTGAGCATCATTTAAGATCATATATGCTCAATGCTTTGTAAGCTATAAAACAACACACAAATATCAGTTGTCCTTATTATTGTTACTTATATCCCTGTGGGGAGTCCATCCATATTTAATTGAATGACATTCATGTTCATTTGTATGACACTGGTATATTGTACCAATTTCCAAATTACGGACAAGTAACAGACTGACAATGTTTATCTAGGAAATGTAGATAATACTGAGAATGCAGAGTTGTATGGGGTCCATGATTAAAACACAAAGTTTACGTTTGCTCCTATATAGTACTTTATGGCTACAATACCTTCTCATACCTTGTCTCCTTAGATCCTTATAACAGAGCTATGAGGAAAGCAATACAAATATTACCATTCTCATTTTACATATGAGGAAATTGAGGTTTAGAGAAATTAAATGACTTGTGCAAGATCATATAATCAGTAGGTGGTAAGGCTAGGATTTAAACTTAGGCCTCCAAATTCCATATCCAGGACTTTTTGCACTTTGACTTACAACTAACTTCTCTGCAAAATGGAGGAAAAGTAGAAGAGGTAGGAAAAAGCAATAAAGGAACCAATTCTGATTAAACTGATTCATACTCTCATAAGTTATCCTCCCAGTGTCTTTCAATGAAAGAGCTGGCAAGGAATTGTGTGTACATACACATATATATGTACATGTACATATATGTACATATATACACACACACACATATCTGTATTTGTTGTGTCCCATTAGATTATAATCTCCTTGTAAGAACTGTTTCTTTTACTATATTTGTAATCTGAGTGTCTAGCACAATGCTTTGGCACATAATGTAGTAAATACTTGTTCATTGATTGATTCATACAATAATTTCCATAGACTATGATAAACTCAATCTAATTCAATCTCTGTCAGTACTTATCAAACCATTATACACATATAGGCCCAGTAAATGTTTTCTGTCTTAAATTCTTAGTTCAACTTGATTGAAAATTAATTGAGATCCTCCCAAATTTCCTCAGGAAAAAATATCAACCATACAGTTTTAATATGGCATATACCACATTATAATAATGAAGGAAGGAAATAAGCATTTATTAAACACCTATTATGTGCTAGGCACTGTCCTAAATACCTTACAAACATTATCTCATTTGATCCTCACAACAACCCTGGGAATTAGGTGTTATTTTTCCTCTTTTTACAGTTGAGGAAACTGAGGCAAACAGGTTAAGTGACTTGCCCAGGGTCATACAGCTAGTAAGTGTCTGAGGTCAGATTTGAATTCCAGTCTTCCTGACTCTAGGCCCAGTATTCTCTCTGTTGTTGTTGTTGTTCAGTCATTTCAGTCATGTCTGACTCTTCATGACCCCATTTGGGTTTTTTCTGGGGGGGCAAAGATACTGGAATGATTTGCCATTTCCCCCATTTGAGTTTTTTGGCAAAAATACTGGAGTGATTTGCCATTTCCTTCTCCAGTTCATTTTACAGATGAAGAAACTGAGGCAAACAAGGTTAAGTCACTTGTCCAGGGTCACACAGCTAGTAAGTGTCTGAGGCTGGATTTGAACTCAGGTCTTCCTGACTCCAGGCTCCGTGCTCTATCCACTGTGCCACCTAACTGTCCCAGTATTCTTTCTACCATGTCATTAATTCACTATTTACAAGTATACATAAGGAAAAGGAAGAAAGGCATCATGGTGGTGTATATGGAAAGCTGGAATCAGGAAGACCTGGGTTCAAGTCCTATCTCTGATACATTGTAGCTAGGTGTGTGACCACAAGCACTTAACTTTCCAAGCACCCCTCTAAGACTACAAGTTACCAAAGTGTTGTCTACATCGTCAGCAGGAATTTCCACCCAAGGAGTTAGTTTCCTATCCAGATAAAATGATAGATTTGGATCAGAAAAGGGAAAAAAAAAAGGAAAAGGAAATGAATGAAGTAAAAGGAAGCAACATAACCAAGACCAAGCAGAATTGGAATTCTGTTTAAAAACAAAAAAAGCTCCAGGACAGTGAATGACTCCAAAATCAATCCCTTTTAAAAAGTACTCTTTCAGATCCCTGTTCGCTGCAGTAGTGCTGTCTGTACGTCAGAAAGGAAAGAGGTTCTAACTCAACAATCTTGGGCTCTTTCTGAAACTGAAATTCCCTTTCCCAAACATCCTTGCCAAAATCCGACTTAAAAGTCCTGGAAAATGAAGGGTTAATGTGAACTAGCCAAGGCTGAGAATGGAGCAGATTTCCAGGCAGTATCTTCCCAGTGCTCCTGAAGCATGAGGAGCTGTCCACCAGGTGATCAGCTTCTCCTGAACTAAAGGCTAACTCCTTGATAGAGCCGAGGGCAGTCAGGTGTATTGACAACGGGAGCATTCACTGTTAACGTGAAGCAGATACCAGACAAAGAAGCCATGCAAGTGTTCTTATCCCCCGTCTGAGTATGAAGCTCCTTATGTGATATCTTTCAGTGTCAGAAGCAATAGGATTCACCCCAGAGAAGACAAACATGAAATCATTGATTCCTCTTAAACTTTCAGTCTTAGAGAGCAGCCCAGAGCTCTAAGATTTTAAATGACTTATCTACGTGTTTTGAAAGCAGGACTGGAAAACAAGTTTTCCTGACTTTATCCACTATGCTCACTACCATTTATGAAACCACATCAGTTAAATGTGTTAATTTGCAACGGTCTGTTGGGACTATTTGATTTGACAATCAGAGCACCATGGCTCATCATTGTAGCCTCAGAAAAAAACATAAAGTTAATAGGTCAGTTTTCTATCTTGAAAGGCAGCATAACGTCGTGCAATAGAGTCGAATTCAAATAGAAATGATATAAGGATCTCTGTAGATGCATACTGACTTAGAAAAACACATATTAACATTGTCTATATTCTACTGCATTTTATTTATTTTGTTAAATATTTCCCAACTACACTTTAATCTGGCAGTAACATGGAATGAATGTAGTCAAGAGGCCAGGTGTTTGACATGCCTGCTGTAGGGGATAAAATGGTAGATATGAAACTAGAAAGATCTGGGTTTTAATCCTGTCTGTGACAATAGCTATGTGATCATAGACAAGTCACTTAGCCTGGCTAAGCCTCAGTTTCCTCATCTGTAAAGTGAAGATGATAAAAGCTGCAGCAACTATGTCACAGGGTTGTTGTGAAGTTAGGTGGCAAAACAAATAGAGCTCTAAACCTGGTGTCAGGAAGATCTGTGTTCAAATATAACCTAAAGCACTTACTGTGTGACCCTAGAGAGTCATCCAGCTTCAGTCTGCCTCAGCTTCCTCATCTGTAAAATGGGGATGATGGCAGCACCTACCTCCCAGAATTGTGAGAATCAAATGAAATAATATTTGTAAAGCACTTGCAAACTTTAAAGTATTATATAGACACTAGTCACGATATATAAAACACTTTGAAAACCTAAAGGTCCCACATATATGTGAATCATTGTTATAAGCATAAATGAAATAAATGAATAAATGAAAAGTATTTAAGAGCTTGTTGTGTGCCAAGTACTGTTTGACATCATTTATGCAGATGACTATATTAACCATCTTTTACATTTGATACAACAAATACTTACTGTGGATTTACGTCAGGGTTGATTTTTTTCAGTTCCATGATGTCATCAACAGTCTTTTCAATTGCATCAGGGTGAACACTTACTGAAGTCTGCAACAGCTGGAAAGCATGTTGAAACCAGTTACTTTCTTTGGTCAATCACTTTCCTTTAAGAGCTTAACCAACGATGATAATTTAAACAATATACATTTTCATAGGATTTTGAACTAGAAGGAAGAAATGAGGGGTCTAATCCAACCCCGTCATTTTACAGATGAGGAAACTGTGATGCCAAGAGGTGAAATGACTTGTCCCAAGGTCACAGAAAAGTCAGGATTTGCATCCAGGTCCTCCAACTCTAAGGCCAGTGTTCCATCCACTATACCACACTGGTGGCTGGGGTGTCCAGTGTTTCTGTTGCATATGAAATTATAAAGTTTAATAGCAAAAAATTACTATAAATAATCCACATGAATGCTTAGGAAGTGAAGATCTACGTAAGAGATAATGGTGTTTTCCCTAGAAAAAAATTTATCTAAAATTCTCTACAGAAATTCTCTACAAAATATTTAGGTAGTGTTAATAATGTAACAGTAGAAAGGGCTTTTATGAATTCTGATAGGATTGTTTTTTGAGAATTCCCTCCCATTTCTTTCTACTTTTGTTTCAATTAATTAGACCCTTTTGTCAACAAATTATTTTCTCTAACTAGCAAGAGGCAGCATGGTGCCATGGAAAGGGCTTTCAGTTTGGAACCACAGGGCCTGGGTTTTAATCCAAGCACTTCCACTGAACACTTGTTACCTTGAGCAAGATGCTTCTTTTCTCCAGGCCTTAGTTCACCTCATCTGTAGAACAAGAGGGTTGGACTTGTTATTTAGTCATTTTTCAGTTGTGTCTGACTCTGTGATTCTTTTTTTTTTTTTTTTTGCAAAGATACTGGAGTAGTTTGCCATTTCCTTCCCCAGGCTCATTTTATGGACGAGAAAACTGAAGCAAACAGGGTTAAGTGACTTGCCTAGGGTCACATAAACAGTGAGGTCAAATTTGAATTCACGTCTTCCTGACTCCAGGCCGGGCACTCAACTGTGCCACCTAGTTGCCCTGAGGGTTGGAATAGATTACTTCTAATGTTCCTTCCAGCTCTAAATCCTATGGTCCTATATACACAATTAAACTTTCCAAAACTAATGGTTCATCTTTTAAACAAAAATGGCTTCTAATAGAACTATAATACTTAATGTTAAAAAAAAGAGGCATATGGGAAAACTCATTTAACAGATGATTAAATTAGAGAGTGGAATTTAAAAAATTAAGATTCACAATCAAAGAAAAATAGAAGAGAGTCAGAAGTCATCTTTTAAAAAGCAATCAGTGATTTCTTGCTTCACAAAAAGTACTGACCTCTGTGTATTAAAAGGCTAGTGCCTTATTCACAGGTAAAGGTTTTATTACTGGGAAATTCTGATTATGTAGTGAATGGATTTGGATGTAAATGAAATATTAGAAGGAAGAAAAAAGCCAATTTCAGCTGTATTTCCCATTTTCACTTGCTTCCTTAAAAACAATTCACTCATTTTTTTGTATTGCTGTTATTTCCCAACGATCCCTTTCTTTGCTATCTATAGAACCCTCCCTTGTATCAATGAAGCATAGTCAAATAAAACAAAACATATTTTCCGTTCCTGCTAATATATGTCTCATTCCACACCTATAGCCTACCACCTCTCTTGTGAAGGGGTGTCCCTTCCTTCTGTTGTAAACAAAGCATTACAAAAGCATTTTCCAGAATATTAATTTTGAATTTTGGAAAAATATGTAAGAGGACAATTTCAATGAAACAATTTGCCAATGGAGAGAAATGGCAATCAGGAATATAAGCTTCCCTACTTGATTGTGCCAAATATTTTGTGTATTTCTGGAAAAAAACATGCAGAGGGACTGTAACTAGTCACAGCGCTATGGTTTGAAGTAGGCAAATACCCTCATTGAGTCCTGGTGGTCACGCAGTTCTGAGTGTTTCTTAGTCGCATCCCATTTTGAAAATGGAAAATGAGCATAAAGTGAAAAGCTACCTGGAACTCCATGAAGAGATGTAAAACTTGACTCACCTTACTTTTTGAATCCCTCAATGATGATTCTGTTAAAGCAATAAATGAAAATGTGATTCAACAGTTCTTCTTCTAAGATATCTTATTTTACTCACTTTAAGTATAAAATTATGTTACTTGAACATGACCCCATAAAAATCTTCCCACTTTCCCCAGCTCTATTGTGCTTTGTCTATCACGTCATTAATTTTTTTACTTACCTATTTTCATGGTTCTGCCGGCTCCTGGCTTGTTATTGTAACAGATTCTTTGTAGCTCACATCGTCCTGTTAGTTTCCTCACCACAAATTTCATACAGCGCCACAGGCACTTGCAGTAAAAATACACACAAATCTGGATCAGCATCCTAGAAAGAGGGAGAGAACAACCCCGACTTCGCATGAAATGGCGAAACCATAACGATGGCTAATGATTGCACCACCACCAAGAGGAAAACAAGCCACTATTACTAGGAAGGCCAAATGTGAGACATTAAAAAAACAGAATTACAGAGTTTAGAAAGGGGAAAAGGACCCGGGAAGATCAGCAAGAATCCCAAATACAACAAGTTGTCAGCTTCAACTTGAGGTTCAGCACAAAGGTGATGAGAAATCTACTACCCCTGGAAGCAGCTTGACACACTTTTGGATAGCTCTAAACATCATGAAACTTCTCTTTCCATCATGCCTAAATCTCTCTCTTAAACGTCTCTTTGTCAATCATAATTCTGCCCCCTGGGACCAGGCAGAACGAGTCCAATTCTGCCAAGTGCTGGAAGACTGATAACATGTTCCCATTCACTCCTGTCTTCTCTTCTCCAGGCTAATGTCGGCAATTTCTTCAAATGATCCTCCTGTGACATTTGTTCTTGAGGCCTTGAGTTGCAGACTTTTCCTATTTGGTACCTTGAGTTGGAAGGCACCTTAAATTCTATTTTCCACCCTAGTCACAAATCCTTTTACCACTCTTTGACAGGTGGTCATTAGGCTTCTTAAGGAAGCTAGGTGGTGCAGTGGATAGAGTGCAAGGCTTAGAATCAGGAAGACTTGTCTTCCTGAGTTCAAATCTGATCTCAATCACTTAGTAGTTGTGTGGTCCTGGGCAAGTCACTTAACCCTGTTTGCCTCAGTTTCCTCATCTATAAAATGAGCTGGAGAAGGAACCACTCTAGTATCTTTGCCAAGAAAACCCCAAATGAGGTCATGAAGAGTTGGACACAACTGAAATGATTCAACAATAAGAAATAAATAACAAAATATCTTTCTCTTCAACTACATGTCAACTTATGCAACTAAAATTTCACTAACCTCAAGGCTTTAAAATCTGCATAGATACACTAGGTATACCAGTGCCTAAGATTCAATTACCAGTAATCCAAGGGAATAAAGGACAAAACCAGTGCCCTATAGAAGTGAAGAATCTCTCTATGCAATTGAATCCTGTTCAACCAGAATGCTTGGGGAAGGGACCAGTTCTGGTTTGGAATGTCTTTTTCAACAAACCTTGGGATGGTGGTTTATACAGAAAAGCATTACCACCAATAGGCCAACCACTTGTCAACCTTGTGGGCAAGGGCTATTTCATTTCTCTATTATTGACACGGTGCAATGGTAACTCATGACTGGAATATGGCAACAGTAGGGCATACCTTCTTCAAAAACAATTGATTAGATAAAAGGAAACGTGTACCAGGAAGGTACATTCCTCCACGGAAATGACAAACTAGATTGAGAAAGCAGAGTGTTTCTACTATGCATTTAGGTGAAGATCAAAGAAAGGAGAAACAGAAACAATATTATAATGGACTTTTAGTATTGCCCACCCAATCAGAAGAAAGAAATGGATGATGAGTTGGAGAAGCAGACAAAGTTGACAACAGAGACAGGGTATAATCATGATAGCAATAGGGACTGGACCTGTGATTTCTTCGGTAGAGAACTCCCAGATAAGGATGTTCCCATTTTGGTCAGAACCTTCTCTGCAACTTATAGTCTCATAGAGTTCCCTGGACCTCTAAGGAGTTACATGATATGTCCAGGCATATACCAGAAGGAAGATTTGAATCCAGATCTATCCTGGCACCAAGGTAGGATCTCTATTCACTATGCCAAAAGACTTCAATTAAAGATACAGACAGGGACAATGATAGCTTCTATGCAACAGGGTTTTTATGAGAATCAAATGATATAATAGATGTAAAATGTTTTGCAAACTTTAAAGTGTTCTATGAGTCTGAGCTCTTATTTCTGGAAAATTCTAGAACCTATTAAAAGGACGGTTTGGGAACATTTAGAAAAGCAAGCATTTGATCTCTACTAAACAGCATGAGTGCCTCAAGAACAAGTTATTCCAAAGTCAGCTAGGCGGTGCAGTGGATAGAGCACTGGCCCTGGAGTCAGGAAGACCTGAGTTCAAATGTGATCTCAGATACTTGATATTTACTAGCTGTGTGACCCTGGGCAAGTCACTTAACCCCGATTACCTCACACACAAAAAAAGAATAAGTTATTCCAGACTTTCCTCCTTCCCTTTTTCTTACACAGGATTCAGAATATTATAGATTTAGAGCTAGTTGGTTAATCCAACTTCCCATTTTACAAACAAGGAAGGCAGTGAAAGGTGACATTTCTTTTTTCTTTTCTTTGGAGGTAATTGGGGTTAAGTGACTTGTGACAGGGTCACACAGCTAGTAAATGTCTGCGGCTGGATTTGAACTCAGGTCTTCATGACTCCAGGTCCAATGCTCTATCCGCTGTGTCACCTAGATGCCTCAACAGGTGACATTTCTTAATCAAATTCTCACAGATGGCAAGCAACAGATCCAGGAATGCACCTTGACTATTGGTCCAGGGAATTCCATAAGAAAGATTACCAGGATTCAGCAAGGTCTTTGATAATCTCTCACAATATGCTCATGGACAAAATGGAGAAATGTGGTCTAAGTGAGAATACAAGCATGTGAATATTCAGATGTGAGGGATAACTAATCTATTGGATGAAAGAATCCAAGAGATTCTGCCTCCAAGGCCAGTGACATCTGTCACACCACAACATCTTTCAGGAATCATCCAGTTAGTCATGCTTGAACTTGGGTACTGGGAATCTACAGAGATCACCTTGTTTTCTAAAAGATGGAGAAAGGTTTAGTAAGGACTTGCACTATATCAAATTCAATCTCATAGCAAGACTGTGTGTATGTGTATGTGTGTTACCCATATATTGACTGACTGTGTTACAGAAATATTCTACGGTTTCAGTTGACTAAGAAAAAGCTGACAAACTAGCTCAAAAGACTGTAACAAATTCATTTCTTCAATTGTGAACCACTATTTTTTTTTTTGACGAAATATGGTTTCAAGAGAAGAATGCTTAAGTCTCTTGGTTTAAATTAGGTAATATATCTTTTGAATATTTTATTGGCTTTAGGGAATGGTAAATTAGGATAAACTACAGTAGACTCTAGTCCTTTGGGAGGCCTTGTATGTTGCTAGGGGCAGAGCAGTTACTCAGGAAGGCAGTTAATGAGGAAGAAGGAGATAATGATTTTGTAAGTTGCTACTGTTTAAAAATGACAACAACAAAATAACTGATCTTCTTACCTATCCATATGTATGTGCAATACATAAAAACCTCCCATAACTAAATAATTTCAACAAATGCTGAGTAAGCACTAACTTTATACAAGGCCTTTTGCTAGAAAGTAGGGATAGAAAAATGCAAGTCTTTGACCTCAAGGAACTCACATTTTATATTTACTAAGACAAAGAAGTGAGACTGTCCTTTCCTACTTCTACAAACCCCTCAAGCTGCCTTTGTGATTCACTTAACCTAATTTCACTTTTTTTGTTACATGGGTCCTTTTTGGAACTGTGACAAAATGACCCTCTTACTATTAATGTTTACACTATCACTATATGAGAAATTGCAAAATTGTAAAGATGGAATTCTTAGAGACCATTTCCTGGGAATGAAGGAGACATTTAACTTAGAAAAGCTATCAAAAAATAACCTGGGAAAATGGGCAAAGCTGGTGACAAGAGCTGACAACTTCCCTCTTTGTCCTGCTACTAGGCATACACTGCCAACCTCCCCCAGCTACCTTCTCTATTCCCATATGTGCTACTGGAAGAAGTCACAGAATCATGTCAACCGGGTAAATTTGTTCTATTAAATTTTATTTGGGTCCTCACTGCTGCATGGCAACAACACTTACATTCTTTGATAATGACTATCACACTTTCCACACCAGGTATTCCAAACCTTTTCTTCTCTCCTTACACCATTTATCCCACCAATATCTCTCCTAGATGTGGACTTCTCCTCCTAGTTTACTGAGAATATAGACATCATTTGTAATGAACTCTTTCTTCCTTAATCCAGATTTCAAAAACCCACTGCATTATCCTCCATTCTCTTCTCCTTTCCTCTAGTCTCTAAAGAAGAAATGGTCCTTATATTTGCCCAGACCAACTCCTACTTGTATTCTTGATCCCACCTTTCCTGGAAATTTTCCCTACCCATAATTCCTTCCTTTTCATCTTCAATCTGCCTTTATCCACCGTCTTATTCTCTGATGCTACAAACATACCCTATTCTCCACCATCCTTAAAAGCAAACTAACAAAAAAATTCCTTCACTTAATCTTTTCATCTCAATTTCCTTTTCCTTATAATCAAACTCTTAGAAAGAGTCATTTGCATTCATTAGCTTGCCTCCCATTGACTTCTGAATTCTTCATCAATTGCATTCTGACCTCAACATTCCAACAAAACATCTCTTCCCAAGTTCATAAATAATCTCATAACTACAAAATCAAATGGGCTTTTCTTGGTCTTAATTCTACTTGATTTCTTTACAGCTTTTAGCATTGTTGATCTTTCTCTATTTTGAGATATTATCTTCTTCCTTAGCTTCTGTGACTTTTCTCTTACTTGGTTTTCTTTCTACTGATCTGATCACTCCAAGGTCTCCTCCTCTGGGTCATCTACTTACTATTAAAGATAGATGTCCCCTAAAGCCCTGGTCTTTGTCCCTCTTTTCCCTACACACTCTTGTCTTGGTGAGCATATCAGCTTATATATATTTAATTATCATTTCTTTTCAAAAGACTCACATCTGTTTAACCAGTCCCAAGCTCTCTTAAAATCTAGTAATGATGATCAACTGCTTATTGAACCATTTACAAATGGATATCCTATAGGTATCTTTAATTCAACACAACCAAATTAGAACTCTTATGTTCTCCTAAGCCCATCCTATCCTCCAAATTTTCTTATTTCTGCCGAGAGCACCACTATCTTTTCAGTCACCCAGTTTTGAAAAGATGGAGTCACTCTCAACTTTTTCTTCTCTCTCACCTTTCCCACTGCCATATCTAATAACTTGTCAAGTCTCAGATTACCTATGCAAACCTTTCATATCTAGCTCCTTTCTCTCTACTCACATAGCTACTCCCCTAGTTAAAGTTTTCATCACTTTCCATCTGGGTTTATTTCATTAGCTTCCTAAATGAGCTCCACAATTTTCAGTTTTTCCTTCCCCTTTCCAACCCATTCTGAGCAGCGCTGACAAATTAATATTCCTAAGACACAGGTCTGGCAAAGTCACTCCCCTGCTCAAGAAGCTGCAAGTATCTTCTAAGAAAAAATGCAAACTTCTGCCTGCTACTTAAAGCCCTCTGAATTTTTGCTCTCACCTACCATTCCAGACTTGTTTCAAATTATTCCCTTTGACAATGGTCCTCTGGGAGAAGGGAGGGAAAAAGACAGAAGGAGAAATCCAGGTGACATAAAAACAAAAGATATCAATAAAACTTATCATAAAAGTTATTTCTTTTGATGCACTCTTGCTCCTATGAAACTGACCCACTACCTAGGCTCCAGACCTATCATTTCATCCATCTTCATGCTTTGCATAGCCTTTTCCCCTTGCCTGAAATGTACTTTCTCCTCATTTCTGCCCCTTAGAATCTCCAGCTTCCTTCAAGGCTCAGCTCAGGCTCTATCTCCTACTCAACACCTTTCCTGATTCCCTTCCATTAGTGCTTACTCTTTCCTGAAATTATCTTGTCTTTTTTATTTATTTGTGTCTGTATTGTATTTAACTAGCAGAGTGTGGGCTTCCTGAGGGCAAGGACTATTTCATTGCTGCCTCTTTTCCCCCAGAACCTAGCACAGAACCTATTTAATGCTTAATTATGTTCATTTAATTTGAATTGATCACTTAATCTTGACAAAGACGCCTACCATGGGCAAAGCAAATCAGCTGACTCTTGTAATGCCATTGAAAGAAAAGTAGTTTTTTTTAACACTGTGGTCATACATTCCCTCTATCTGGATTCTTTTTTTTTTTAATTAGGCAATTGGGGTTAAATGACTTGCCCAGGGTCACACAGCTAGTAAGTGTCAAGTGTTTGGTCTGAGGTCGGATTTGAACTCAGGTCCTCCTGACTTCAGGGCCAGCGCTCTATCTCCTGCGCCACCTAGCTGCCCCTTCATCTGGATTTTTTAAGGCACATATATAACCATAAGCTCAAAAGATGTGTCTTACACATCTGTTAAGAGGTGCTCAATAAATGTTGATTTCATTCATTCACCTCCCTGCTCTTTTTTTCTTCTACCTCTATTCTACACACTGATTGCACATTCTAAGAATAAACATGAGATAACTGGATGCCCCTTACTGGTAATGCAGCAGACAGAGTGCAGGGTATTGAGTCAGAAAGACCTGAGTTCAAATTTGACCTCAGCACCCTGGGCAAATCATTTAACTTCTGTTTGCCTCAGTTTCCTCAACTGTAAAATGAGGATGATAACAGCACCTACTTCCCAGAGTTGTTGTGAGGATCAAATGAAATAATTTCTATAAAAAGTGCTTAGCACACAATGCCTGGCACATAATAGGCACTATATAAATATAAATTCCCTTCTCTTCCTCATTGCCCTGGTTACCGCTTCTAGTCAGTCAGGTACATACACACACAACACACACATGTGTGTACATATACATGCACACATATGTGCATGTATGTACACATATTGTGTATGTATATATACACATGTCTATGTATGTATATATACAAACACATTATGTAAACAAGTATATACGTACAATTTGGGGGTTTAGTTGTTTTACATTTCTCAGTTCTAGGCTTGAGCTTCTTAGTTCTAAGGAAAGCTTCTCACTTAACTCAATAAAATATTCTGTGTGATTCCAGGATTATAAATAAGTGCTCAATGTCCAGGGAGAAAATGCTTAGCTATCTTATATACCCATATGAAAAACACATATAGGGGAAGGCTGCTGGGGTGGAGTGGAAAGGTCTGAGATGTGAACTAACCCTACTCTTTCCTCGCTGTGCGACTTTGGGCAAGCCACTTCAACTTTTTAGACCTCACCTTCCTCCTTTGTAAAATAGGAATAAAACAACCCATACTCACAGGGTTGTCACATTCACAAAGTGGTGAATGCGAGTGAATTGTAAACCAAAAACATGGTGTGAATGTCAGGTTAAACAATAACAAAGTTTTGTAATTTTGAGATTACACATCCTACCTATGATTTAGTATGTGAATTCCTGCAAGTTGCCTGAGGTAGGCAGAGATTTAGGTGCCTTGCTCCTGGCTCATAAAGTATCAGAGGCTTGATCTGAACCCAGGTCTTCTTAACTCCAAGCTTAGTACTCTCAGCATTATGCCACGCTATACCTATGTAGGTCTTTCACTGTTAGTGAAGAAACCCCACTAGCAATAGAGATCAACTACTATTCTACCCCTGAGAGTTAAGAGAGTTACCTGAGGCAATTAGCCGTTAAGTGATTTTTCCCAAAGTCACACAACCAGTATCAGAGACAGATTTGAATCTAGGCCTTCCTGATTCCAAGGCTGATTCTCTATCCACTTTGCCACACTGCTTACATATAAACAAAATAATTTTGAAAACCACTTCTCTAAATGCTGGGAGAATGTTATTAAAAAAAAAAGAACTACTGTCTATCCCTCAGGAGTTGACCTTAATTATGCATTCGCACAGTCTGATTCAATGTATTTTTTTTTAATCCATGACAAACTCTATTGGCATGCTTTGTTCTTGCTGTATATTTTCAGAAGGTGCAGCTCAGTAAAGAAGATGACTTATGCCTCTATCAGGAATTCCCAGCAGGGCTCTATGGTCATCGTTATGTTCAGTTTTTATTATTCAACATTCATTCTCCAGTTTGTACCTAGAATAGCTACCCAAAGCAAATTATTCAAAATGGATCACATGGCTGCTACAAAACAAGAGACAAGCTTATCTTCTGTGAGGCACTTGGTTAAGATAGCATATTCAGCAGGAGCAAGTCTGTTGAAAAGGACAAGAGAGCAAAAGCCAGGACTAATAGCAAGTGTAGGGGTGGTGGGGTTGGAAGAGAGAAGGGAGGTGCTGGTACCTGTCATGGAGTACTACGCCTCCACCTTATGTGTGGGTGAGTGACATCGCCTTTTGCGACATCAAAAGAAAAATGGCTTATTTTGAACAGTTTCAATAAATGCGCTAATGGAAATTAACTCTTGCTTGAAGAAATCCTGTAATAAATAAAAAGTAAACTATTGAAGAGAAGAGTTAACACTATAGAAACAACAAGCAGATGTGGTAAAACGCAGATGACAATGAGGAATTTTCATTTTGTTTTCATAACTGTCAGAGTTTCCACAATGGAATCACTCTGTGTGTAGGGGGCAAGAAGAAATATCGTGCTCCCCAGGGCCTTCATTGTCTCATACAGTGTTCTGAAACCACCATGTTATTTTAGTTACAGGGAGGCTGTCTTCCACTTAAGCTCTTCATTAAGTGATGCTGGCAACTCAGCATGAACTCCTCCAGTGTGAGTCTAGCCCAGTGCACTAACTCTAATGAGGTTTCCTTGTGAGGAAAGATGCTGGGAGAAGACTATGCATGAGTCTCTAAACAGAGCCCTAGGCAGTGTCTCCTGGCAAAGGGCTGTATCTTCTCACAAGGGCAAGGAAGAGGAACCTGTTCCATGAAACTTTTAAATGTAGAAAATTTCTATTAAAATTTAGAAATCAGAGTGGTAGCATGGAAAAGTCAGAAGTTCAGGTGGTTCCAGCTCAGACATTAAAGATTTATGTAAACATAGGAAAGTCACTTACCATGGGAAAGGAATATCAGGCCAAAGATAGCAGGAGAAATTTAGGATTTAGGCCTGGGAAAGTTCTGGTTATGTATTCCAGAATTATTTATCTGAGGACAGTGTGAAGCCGTCTTCATTACTATAACTATTTTAGGAATAATGTTCTTTTATGGAGTTTTTGTCTAATAGTTTTAAAGTCCTGGAACTGTAGCAAAGAGAATATCACACATAATTGGCATTCCTATAAGCTCATTCTGTGATTCTGTGCAAACATAAAGATGAAAGACCCACACCCTTGTGAAGGTCAGAAATATGCCCTTTTCTAAATCCACACATTCTCCTCCCCCATCCCATTTCTTCCCTTTTTCTGCATTGATTGCCAAACTGTGGCACCATGACAAATGTTAGCTTGGGTGATCAGAGTATACTTACCTAATGTGGTCCCCAAATTGCAATTTTAAAAATTAACATTTTTTCTATTTGTACTAAATCAGAATATATTAAAGCAACCTTGAGTTCAATTCCAATAAATTTATTCAACACATTTTTATTAAATATGGGTGCCTCTTCTTTTCCCTTAGGGAGAAATATAGCACTTTTTTTTTCCAAAGGAATACCTTTCCAGTCAGTCATTATAGTTGGTACTATGGGAGATATTTTGTTAGATGCAAATTTCAAGGTTTATGGAAGTTACTACTCTATTGTAAATGAGATCCATCTTCTTCCCTCAAAAGTGTTATTACTATGATGCTGGGAAATATAAAAAGGGTACTGAAAAATAATTTTGTATTAGATAATGCAAAAAAGACTATGTCATGACCACTTCTGTCATGAGCTTTATAGTTAATATAAGATATTTTTAAAAGTAAGATATTTTAAAGTATCCTGATACAGGTCATAGAAAATAAAAATTCACTAACCTTTCTTATCTTTCCCATTGTTGTAGCAATAATACATCTAGGGTAAGAAGATATAAATCACAGACCAGTGAGCTTGACATTCATATATAGAATAATTCTACAATGGATTGTTAAATGGAGCACTTATAAATGCTTAGAAAAAAATGGTCATTAGGAGTCAGAATGGCTTTTCTAAGAAGTAAGGCCAGATGAGCCTCAGTTTCTTTTTTGTCAGGGTTAGTAGAAAATCAGGGGAATACTATAGCCATGGCATACTGGGATTTCAGCAAAGCATATGACAAAGTTTTAGAATACCCTTATGGATAAATATGGACTGAATTATAGAAAAATGAGATGAATTCAAAACTGGTTGAATGATTGAACACAAAGATTGTTCATTAATGGATTGATGCCAGCAGCATGGCGTATTTCTAGGGATGCGCCACAGGGATCTAGTCACTTTCTTGTTCTGCCCAAATATTTTTATCAATAACTTAAATGAAGTCTTTGGAGTTAGTCATCCTTATCAAATTCTCAAGTGACGCAAAACTGGAAAGGAGGGCTAACACTTTGGATGATGGAATCAGAATCCAGTAAGATAAATGTACTAGAATAATGTGTCAAATCTAACAAGATCAAATATAATCAGGATGAAATATGGAATCCTTCATTTAGTTTAAAAAGAATCAACTGCACAAGCAAATGATGAGAGAGACAACAGTCCACATGGAAGACCTGAGGTTTTCACTCCTCATGCCTGCTCTTCCTCCCAATTTCTGGCTCTTAGAATCCCTGGCTTCCTTTAGGATTCAGGTCACGTGCTACCTCCTCTAGGAAGCCTTTCCTGGTCCCTCCATCTGCTGGTGACATCCCCTCTAAGGTTACCTCCCATCTACCCTATGTTTATTTTATATGTTCTACTTTATATAATCTCTCCCATTAGAATGTAAGCTCCTTGAGTACAGGGAATATTTTTGCTTTTTTTTTATTTCTAGTACTTAGCACAGTGTCTGGTACATATTAAGTGCTTAATAAATGCTTGTTGATTGTTGAATGATTGTAGTCAATCATTCAATAGGAATGCTTTGTTATTCAAAAAGCTAAAGCAGTGTTGGGCTGCCTTACTATACTCTGTCCTGTTTAGACCACATCTTTAGTATTATGTTCAATCACATGCTTCATATATTAGGAAGGACATGGACAAGCCATAACTACTCCATCCCCTGATTCACCAGAGGAGGGTGACCAGGATGATGTAGGATCTAAAAATCAATTATAATGATTGTTTGAAGGAAGTAGGGATGCTTATCTTGGAGAAGGACAGGCTTTGGGGATACATGAGAATTCTCATTAAACAGCTGAAGGGCTATCACATGGAAGGGCCTTCCCCTATGTACTTCCAGAAGGAAAAAACTAGGGTCAATAGGTACAAGTTATGCAGAGCTAAATTTCAGTTCAGTATAAGAATGAACTTTCTAGCAACTTAGAGGAGTTCAGAACTGGAATGGAGTGACTGATGTATTAGTAGATCCCTGTCTTTAAACGTAGTTAAGATGAGGTGGGATAACCACTTGCCTGGAATTTGATGATCTTCAAAGATCTCTCCCAACTCCAAGAGTCTATGAGCCTACTACGGCAATGAATGCCCATCACACTAAAGATAAATAGTATTAATGTTGTGGTATGCATTTTAAACTTATACTTGCTCCCAGCCTGGTTTCCTTGAAGACTAGCCTTGCTTAGGAACTTTTCATTCCTCTCAGATCTAAAAGCATCTTAGAGGTCAAGTAATCATTAGGCTCTCTAGATAATGTTGCCATTTTTTTGGGTGGAAGCCCATGACTAATCCTTCACAATGTACCTGCTGAACACAGAAATGAACACCTGACTGATTCAGAATATAGCTATTATCCTTTCTTTTTACAAGAGAAAGACTTCCAAACTTGGCTATTTGTGGTAAGATACTGTAGGGTAAAATTGTTCAGTTGTTTTTCAATTGTGTCTGACTCTTCATGATCCCATTTGGGGTTTTCTTGGCAAAGATACTGAAGTAGTTTACCATTTCTTTTTCCAGCTCATTTTACAGATGAGGAAATTGAGACCAACAGGGTTAAATGAATGCCTGGGGTCACACAGCTAGTAAGTGTCTGAGGCCAATTTTGAACTCATGAAGATGAGTCTTCTTGACTTCAGGCCCTGTGCTCTTATCTACTATGCCTCTGTAGGTATAGAAGTCAACCTATTAAGTAGGATCTGTAAGATCAATGCCATACTACCAGTATGTTTCTTGTTTCTTAAAATTTTTAGAGCTTCGAAAACAATGTCATGTATTTGGACATACTTATTAATGCATACATGAGAGGTAGCTTGGAGTAGTGGATAAAGCACTAGCCTCAGAATTAGAAAGAAATAGATTCAAGTCCAACTGCCCACACATACCAGCTTTGTAAGCCTGGGGAAGTCACTTAAGCTTTCAATGTTTTAGCTGATTCTGAGGCTTGCAAGTTGCAGAGAAGGTGTTGACGTGGATTTGCAGAGAGAGTTTACTCAGTCAGATGTTACATATGCCAATGTAATCATAGGTCCAGTTCCTATCCCTCTTGGTATCCCATATATGCATACACATCTGCATACATTCATGTGCCTTCCCAGCTCAATAAGTCAATATCTATAATAATAGGTAACATTTATGTTTGCAGAGGTTTGCAGAGTGCTTTGTATCCCTTCATTTGAGAGTCAAAAAACCCCCTGAGGCAGATATTTTAGTGTTGAGTGCATTTAGACATCATCAGCATTTTACAGGTTAGAAAACAGACTCAGAAAGGGTAAAATGGTCACATCTAGTTAATATGAAAGGTGGGAGCTGAATCCAGGTTGTCCCTGGACCCCAAGTTCAGCACACTTTCCAGTATGCAATGTTGCATCTCTGTGAGCACCGAAGGTCTAACCTTGAATATACATTGATATGCTTTTAGTTTGGCACCCAACAGCAATGTCTAAATTTAGGTCCTTTTCTCATTTTAATATCAATTCTCAATGCAAATGCTAAAATATCTTGTTTATTATGCTAACCTGTTTTTCTTGTTCTGTGTTTTTAAACAAATAACCAATTTCAAGATAAAAGGAAAAGAAATGGCTAAGGATGAAATGAGCTCATCATTCTTCCTACTAGAACACAGAGTATCACAATGATGGATGTCCATTCACTGTGCCAAGATTAAATCATTGTATTCTAATTGGTTCAAATATACTATGGTCTCCTGCTAAGGAACAGCAGTGAATCTTTTCAGTTCAGCAACTGAAAACTAAGATCTGGAAGGTACCTCACTCAGAGGTCAATTGGTTTCACCCATTCCCCTACCAGAAAAGTAATCCTTTCTACTCTATGAATGAAATTAAATTTCCTTTACTGTTTATGATGTGTAAATATACAGTATAATTAATGTTGATTTAATTATTTATTTTGAGCCTGGGTCCCCCCCATCTTGCCCAGGCTGGAAATGTAAGGCTACTCCTGTTCCAATTCTACTATTAATCAGCTTTAACCTACTCTAACCTGGGTGGGCTCATCACTCCTTAGGTAGCCTGCCATTCCCCTGTTCTGGAGAGTGGGAAGCCCCATATTGGTGTGGGTCTTAGGGCAGATACCTGATTGACTTAGCCTTGCTGCAGCTCAGAATCCCCATGCTTAAATGATTCCCCAACCTCATTCTCTCCCAGTAGCAGGAATCACGGAAGTATGCCACCATGCCTGGCTCAAAGTTTATTAAACTTGCAAAGGAAGCAAAGAGGGAGCAATCTACACCAGCACTGATGATAGTACAAAATTAGACACAGGATGGATGAGTGGAGAGAACACTTGGTATGGAGTGGGGAAGACCTGGGCTCAAAGTTCACTTTAGAGGCTAACTACCAGTGTGGCCATGAACAAGTAAATGCCTTTACCTCCTGCAGCCTGTTTCCTCATCTCTAAAATGGCATCTGCCTCACAGAAATATGCTGAGAATCAAGTGTGATAAGGCATATGAACTGCTTTGCCAACCTGAAAGGACTGTGGGGTAGAGAGAAGGTTAAAGTAAGAGATCCACAATTTGGGATGCCAAAAGAATAAAGTTATATAAAGAAAAAAGTTTAATATCATTTCCAGCACTTGGCACCATGCCTGGCACACAGTGGACACTTAATAAATGTTTATTGATTGGTTGATTGAATCCTCCTGCACGTAGCTGTGGCCTTTTGGTTTTGTGAAATTTTCTCTGGCACACAGCAGGGTGTATAGTGATAATGCCACTTTATAACTTTTGCTCACAAGGAGGTTGATTTCAAGGTGTCTGAGTGTTGAAAGAAAATAAAAACCAAACAAGTCTACAGAGAAAAAAAATTTAAAGGTTTGTCATACACTCTGTTGAAGGTCCTGAATTTATTTCTGAGCACCATCTTTAGACACTAAAGCTTTCTATTAACCTGATATTGCCACAGAAAGGGACTAGGCTCACATTTAGAAGAAATTCAAAAATACCGATTTTTCATTAATATAAAAATCATCTGGAGTAATTACCATAGCAACCAAGGAGCATGTCAGGGCATGTCCTATCCTGTCAAATATTCCCATGATTATTTTTTTTAAATCTTTTTTTCCACAGCTGACATAATCAGATTGAGACATGCTCTGTATAACAAAAAGAATACCAGACCCAATAAGCCTATTGAATAAATGACATCATATGGGACTTCATAATTCTAAGATTTTATAAACATATCAAAGAGACATCTTCACACTATAAACCAGAGCATCAAAGAATGCTAAGGGCTTTAAAGAGGCATAACATGAAGAAACAAACATGAAGGAATCATGGCAAAGAGGGAAAAGAACCCTAAAATAGAAGCTATTGAAATAATATTTCCTAAAGTAATTGAGGTCATCTTAGGTGCTTAATTAGAGAAACCTAAGCTAGGCTAGGAAGTAAAGTATATATTGTATGCCTTAGGAGAAAGACTCTGATTCCTATCAGATTTATTCCATCTTCTATTTCTATGCCTAGATCAAGATCATCAATA